TGGAGTGCAGTGGCGTGATCTTGGCTCACTGCAACTTCTGTCTCCTGGGTTCAAGCGATTTTACTGCCTCAGCCTCCTGAGTAGCTGGGATTACAGGTACGCGCCACCACGCCCAGCTAATTTTTTGTACTTTTAGTAGAGACAGGTTTCACCATGTTGGCCAGGATAGTCTCGATCTCTTGACCTCGTGATCCACCCGCCTCAGCCTCCCAAAGTGCTGGCATTACAGGCGTGAGCCACCGTGCCCATCCTATTTCTCCTTTCAAAACTGAATTTTTGTACTCAACATCTCACTTTTCACTCTCCACCCTCTTCTGTCCGTCTCTCATAACCACCATTCTACTCTGTACTTCTGTGAGTTCCACTCTTCGATTCCACAAATAAGTGAGATCATTTGTGGTATTTGTCTTTCTTGTCTGGCTTATTTCACTTAGCATAATGTCCTCCAGGTTAAGTTTGTACTTAAAAATTATGATACAGTACTTTGTAAAACAGTGAGTACTCATTTTTTTTTTTTTTTTTTTTTTGAGACAGAGTCTTGCTCTGTCGCCCAGGCTGGATTGCAGTGGCCAGATCTCAGCTCACTGCAAAACGCCATTCTCCTGCCTCAGCCTCCTGAGTAGCTGGGACTACAGGCGCCCGCCACCTTGCCCGGCTAGTTTTTTGTATTTTTTTTAGTAGAGACGGGGTTTCACCGTGTTAGCCAGGATGGGCTCGATCTCCTGACCTCGTGATCCGCCCATCTCGGCCTTGAGTACTCATATTTTTGACTGCCTGATATTATTGACTTCAGCCTGACGCCAAATTGCTGATTATATTTCTCATAGTGGATTTTGTGTCTCTACACTTAGAAGAATTGAGCAGATACTTACAGAAGAGTACTGTGCAAATTAGATGTGCAAATTAGAAAACTGTCATTAATTGGATGGATTAGGCATTTTGAGTAGTTCACTCAGACCACAGAGATGAGAGTACTGACCTCTGAATATTATGAAAGAATCGTTAATAACAATAGCGAAGGCAAGCTCTGACCATCGTCACTGGAAGAACTTAGAGTCCAGTGTATAGTACCCTTCCTCCATTGTAATTTGCATTTGTGAGGAAAGGACATTTCTAGGTGGTGCTCATCTTTCACTTTGGACTCTGACATTTTTTGATGTTGGCCTAACACTTAGCCATGACTCATGGGGTGTCACCTTCAGTCTCTAAGAATCAGGCCAGGTTTCTTGTAGATCTTGTCATATTGCCACTTGGAATTTAGCCGGAGGAAAGAAAGTAAGGCATAATTGCAGTTGTTTAGATGAACATCTCAGTCAGGCTTATGAGAGGCAATAGGGCAGAGTAGACCGTCCTCATTCTCTCTGGCATTTGTTTTCTACCTGTTTTGAAGATTCTTCTCTGAACCATATCTTGTGCAGAGATGACAGTTGATCATAGAGGTTCCCCTACCCCCAATTTCTGGCTGATTCCTAAAATTTCATCAGTATCAAGAAAGTAATTCATTTGTTCAAATTTTATTACTCAAGAAAAATGCAACTATCCCTGCAGGGAGCTAAAAAGCCAACGTCTAAATGATGGCAGCGGTGGCCTGTCTGGATGGGCTACTGCCATGATGCCAGCTGCAGTCGGGGAGGCATGGTCTGCACTGCACACTCCATGGAGCCAGTGGGAGCCAGGAATAGGTGGAAGCCCTGCCCGCTTCCAGGTTGGCAGGGCAGGAGCAGCCGTGGCTACATACCTGGGCATCCCTGTGCTTTTGGGGGCCCAGGAACCTCCCCTGCCCCTGCAAGCTTGAAGTGCCTGCTCCCACTGCCTGGCCTCTCCTTGCTCCTGGTGCCCGCTCTGATCCTGGTGCCCGCTCTGATCCTGGTGCCCGCTCTGATCCTGGTGCCCGCTCTGATTCTGGTGCCCGCTCTGATTCTGGTGCCCACTCTGATCCTGGTGCCCTCTCTGCTTCTGGTGCCCGCTCTGATTTTGGTGCCCGCTCTGATTTTGGAGCAAAGTTGAGGCCAAGCCTGGGCACTGTCATGACCTGGCTGGGTGTGCATGTGCTAGGGGCAGCGCTGACACGCCAGCCCCCTGCTGCCTTGGCCCCCTCCACATTTTGGGTGTCCAGGAGCACAGGAGGGGAGGCCAAGGCGGAGCTGAGGGCAGCTTCATGCAGGCCTGCAGGCGCCCCTTGGCACGAATAGCCAGGGTGCCTTGATAGCAGCAGGAGGCAGAGAGGCTCCTAGGCGGAAATGGGCGGGTCCCTGGTGAACCCCCACCTTCAAGCCAGAGATGGCCTGAAGCCTGGGGCCCAGGCTGCCAGTTCTGTGGACTGGAGTGAGAACTTACGGTGCTTTTTCCAGGCTGCCCATGGCTTCCCAATGGGCCAATCAGCATGTACTTCCTCCGCTCTGAAGCCCATGAAAACCCTGGACTCAGCCAGACTTGACAGGATGGCTGACTGCTGATAGGAGCTCCCACTCCAGCTCTCCTCTCCGCTGAGGGCTGCAGAGACAAAAGGATGACCTGCCTTCAGATAGGAGCTGCCCACTTTGGTCCCCTCTCCGCTGAGGGCTGCACAGATGCTGGGACCGCCTGCTGTGGAAAGGAGCTACCCACTTGGGGTCTCCTGAGAACTATTGTGTTGCTCAACAAAGCACCTCTTCACCTTGCTTATCCTCCAGGTGTCCGTGTACCTCCTTCTTACTGGACATGGGACTAGAACTCGGGATCCACCAACTGGCAGGACTGAAAGAGCTGTAACAAACAGAGCTGAAACATGTCCCCAGCTCCCCCCACCCACCACTTGCCACGTTGTGAGCAAGAGAAAGAGACGAGAGGAGAGAGAGAAGAGAAGAGCTGCAGCCCTTTGGGAAGCCCAGACCTAGGAGCTCCCTGAGGCTGGGCTGTGACCCCCTCTTTGGAGCTCTGTGGTTCCTGGCATCTCCAAGCTTCTGGGCACCACCGTGTTCCCCAGTGCCTGCATTGGAAGCTGCTTGTGGTATGCCTGGTTCAGCTGCAGCCTCTCAGGGAGCTGGCGCCTGGAGCTGCCCACCCCCCGGCAGCTGGTGTGCCTGGCTGTGCGCAGTGGCCGGAGCCTGTGCTCACTCGCCTGTGCACCGCTTGCCGCTCCGTGCCTGGCTTGCCCTTGGCGCGCGTGGAATCTGTGCTGGTGACACGAGCTGAGCGTAGCCTGCCAGGCTGAGTGGACGGAATGGGCCCAGCGGGCCTGAGCAAAACTCAGGCAAAGGCGCCACTGGCCACGGAGGTTTCTGGCTGGCGAAGCGACACCCCAAGTATTCTGTGACATAAACATGAAATATAGAATATTCAGAACTTTGCTGTAATAGCTAGTTGCTAGGAACTGTCTGCTAAATGAGCCAATAATAAATAAGTTTACCTTTGGGGGAAGGAGAATCCCTGAGGGAGTTTTAATAGCTGGAAACTATTGAGGTGTTAAGACCCTGAAAGAGGAAAGGGAAATGAGTACTGAGAAAAGAAGGGGAAGGGCCAGGTGCAGTGGTTTACACCTGTAATTCCGGCACTTTGGGAGGTCGAGGTGGGTGGATCACCTAAGGTCAGGAGTTCAAGACCAGCCTGGCCAACATGACAAAACCCTGTCTCTACTAAAAATACAAAAATTGGCTGGGTGCAGTGGCTCATGCCTGTAATCCCAGCGCTTTCGGAGGCCGAGGCAGGTGGATCACGAGGTCAGGTGTTCAAGACCATCATGGCCAACATAGTGAAACCCCGTCTCTACTAAAAATACAAAAAATTAGCTGGGCGTGGGGGTGGGCGCCTATAATCCCAGCTACTCAGGAGGCTGAGGCAGGAGAATTGCTTGAAACCAGGAGGCGGAGGTTGTAGTGAGCCGAGATCGTGTCATTGTACTTAGCCAGGGTGACAGAGTGAGACTTTTTTTTTTTTTTTTTAGAAAAAGGAGGAGAAGGACATTTTAAAAAGACGTTATGCTGGCCCTAGCTATTCTGGAGGTTCAGGTGGAAGTATTGCTTGAGCTCAGGAGTTTGCGGCTACAGTGTGCTCTGATTGTGACTGTGAGCAGCCACTGCACTCCAGCCTGGACAACCTAGCAAGAACCCATCCCTTAAAAAAATAAAAGTAATGAAAAAGGAAATAAAAACCGTTATGCTACTCTACAACTTTCATGGAACTTACCCTGGTGAAGTGGTCACTGAAATCTGTAGAGCATTTAGAGTTAAGACATCAACTCGTGCTGTGGTTCATGCCTGTAATCCCAAGTCTTTGTGAGTTTGAGACAGGAGGATCCCTTGAGGCCAGGATTTCGAGACCAGCCTGGGCAACATAGCGAGGCCTGTCTCTTAAAAAAAAAAAAAAAAAAGCTATGTGTGGTGGCATGTGCCGGAGTCCTGGCTGCTTGGGAGGCTGAGGCAAGAGGGTCACTTGAGCTAACAAGGTTGAAGCTGCAGTGAACCAAGATCATACCACTGCACCCCAGCCTGGACAACAGAGTGAAACCCTGTCTTAAAAAAAAACAAATAGAGTTAAGAAATCCATGTTTTGTTAATCCAGGACTTGTTGAGAGCCATCCCTTTACAAAAGGTTCTTTTCTCTACCTGCACCTGTCATGCCTTCACATTGCCTTATACCTGTCGTATCGATGATATGGAGGGTAGTGGGAGAGTCTATGTAACTATCTTTCTCAGACAAATTATTCCAATCTTTTGCATGCAATCAGGATTTAAAATTAGCAGTTAGTATGTAGGCTGCACTGTGAGGGGGAATGACTTCCAACTTCAGGCAATTCATTGTGGCCATTGTTCCACAGAGAGGCATTTCAGTATTCCTACTAGAGCCTGTGTTTTGTGAAGCTTCGTTGTTTTTGCCAGATGCCATTGGCTCATCTTAGTGAAGTACATGCTATAGAACTGATATTTTGCTGAGTGTATCCTTGTGAACATTTCGGAAATACTGGTGACAAACTCTTTTCCCACCCCAATGAGAAAATTTTTGTTTTCACTTTCTATGACCAGTTAAAAGAAGATGGATGCACAGTGTTCAGCCAAGGTCAATGCAAGGAAGAGGAGGAAAGAGGCGCCTGGACCCAACGGGGCAACAGAGGAAGATGGGGTTCCTTTCAAAGTGCAGCGCTGTGCAGTGGTAAGTGGAGATGAACCCGGCAGGGGGAGGGTAGAAACCGATACAGCGTTGATGATATCAGTGTTACACGTCTTCTGAAATAATGAAAAGAAGGAATAGTAAGTGTATTTCACAGTCACTGGAAATCTTCTGCCTTTTTACTAGATTATGACTCACAGCTCAGTTGTAGGAGCTTTACCTGGATTTAGAAAAAGAAATGTTAGGAAAATATGGAAGTTGCGTGTGTATTAGGCTAAAACTATTGAAATATGGCCAGGTGCGGTGACTCATACCTGTAATCCCTGCACTTTGGGAGGCTGAGGTGGGCGGATCACCCGAGGTCAGGAGTTCAAGACCAGCCTGACCAACATGGTGAAACCCCGTCTCTACTAAAAATACAGAATTAGCCGGGCGTGATGGCACATGCCTGTAATCCCAGCTACTGGGGAGGATGAGGCAGGAGAATTGCTTGAACTCGGGAGGCGGAGGATGCAGTGAGCCAAGATCGTGCCATTGCATTTCAGCCTGGGCAACAGAGACAGACCCTGTCTCAAAAATAAAAATAAAAATAAAAAATAAGTAAATAAATAAATAAAACTAATAAAATAGAAAAATTGGGGCTCTAGGCAGTGTTTTGATCTTTACATCATCTCGTGTCTAGTGCGTTTTTTCTACTGTTTTTTCTCTCTATATCATTCCTCCATTCTATTACTAGTTGTATCTTGAATGAGAACCTTTTCCCATTTATGCCTACCTTATGCTCCTTTATCTCTGGAAATGTATCTCTGTATTTCCTAATTATTGCCAAACCTTAAATGAAAGACCCCATTCCACACTGCCTACCCTGTCTCAGCTTGCTACCCTTCTAAAACTTTCCATAATAAAAACATGTCAGAGAACACATACACAGTTGAAGCTACTGTTGTTAATATTAGTATGAAATCTGTGTTTCAAAATCCCAGTGACAGAATTGTATGTTTCTTTACCTATATTGACCATTAGCCATTGATCAAACTCAGTTTCCACTGGTTAGTTCTAGAGCTTCCCAGCCCAAAGGGAAAAATCTATTCTGAAACAATTAATAGTTACTCCAAGTGAATGCTCTGTCTTGAGCAATAAAAGCAAATAATACCCCACAAATAAACAAGTGCCTGCAGGGCTGATATTGATCATAAGGGCAAGTATATATATTTGTTTCCTGTTGCATTTGTAACAAATTACCATAATACAAATATACAAATAAATTATCTTACATTTCTGAATATCAGAAATCTGAAATGGGTCTCAGAGGACTAAAATCAGGGTGTTGGCAGAGCTGGAGGGTCCAGGGGAAAGTCCGTCTTCTTGCCTTTTCCAGCTTCTAGAGGGTCCCCATATTGCTTAGCGCTTGGCACCAGCCAGTGCTTACATCACTCTGACCATTGCTTCTGCCATATCTCCTGCAGATTCTGAATGTCCTACTCCCTTTTCACTTACAGGGACTCTTGTGATTACATTAGGTGTACCCAGATAAACTGGAATAATCTTCCTGTCCTTCAAATCCTTTATTTAATCATATCTGCAAAGCTTCTTTACTATTTTTATTTTTATTTATATTTTTGAGACAGAGTCTCGCTCTGTCGCCCAGGCTGGAGTGCAGTGGCGCGACCTCAGTTCACTGCAACCTCTGCCTCTTGGGTTCAAGTGATTTCCCTGCCTCAGCCTCCCAAGTGGCTGGGATTGCAGGTGCCCACCACCATGCCTGGCTTACTATTTTTATTTTTATTTTTAGAATAAGGGTCTTGCTATGTTACCCAGGCTGGTCTTGGACTCCTGAGCTCAAGCAGTCTTCCTACCTCGGCCTCCCACAGTGCTAGGATTACCAGGCGTGAGCCACTGTGCCTGGCCTGCACAGTCTCGTTTGCCATGTGTGGTAAAACAGTCACAGGCTCCAGGGATGGGTGTGGCCATCTGTAGGGGGCGTTATTCTGCATACTATAGTAAATAAGCTCAGAAAATGACTCAGCAATCAGCAAAACAGGGCATTGTTAGTTTCTGAATATTTCTTAGAGAATTCAGATTGAAGAAATGGTGGTACCAATTCAGCAGCATCACTTGGAGCAGGAACAAGTTATAACCAAATAGGTGATACTGTCAGCTAATCAGCCAATCACTGTAGCTAGGAATAGAGCAAAGGAAGTCAGTCTTTTCAGTGGAATGAGCTCTGAGAAAACTTAAATTTCTTGGTCTTTAAAGTCTGGGGAGTCTTTTTTTTTTTTTTTTAATTCTTCTGGGGAGTCAATGCTTTAAATTCCTTTGCTTCATCTATTCATGTGAAATCAGTTCAGTGACTTGCTACCTGTTCCACATTCCTCCCTGAAACATACAGGCTATTTAGCACAGGCGAATGGTCAAGGAGCCACCCAACAGCCTGGACCAACGTTGGTGAGGAGGGGTGTCTGCTAGTAAACGTGCCTGTCATCTCACTGTGCGCCTGTACTTTCTAGCTGTGACTCTCCTTTGAACACTGTAACAAAAACAAGACTGTTTTCTTTTTTTTAACGGCTTTATTGAGTTATAACTGACATATCATTTACAGTATACAATTCAGTGGTTTTTAGTTTAGTCACAGAGTTGTGCAGCCATCACCATGACCAGTTTTAGAATTTTTTCCTTTATTTTTTTGAGACAGGGCCTTGGTCTGTTACCCAGGCTGGAGGGCAGTGATGTGATCATAGTTCACTGCAGCCTCAACTTTCCGGGCTCAAACAGTCCTCTCACCTCAGCCACCCAAGTAGCTGGGAATATAGGTGCACGTCACCATGCCTGGCTAATTTTTAAATTTGCTTTTGTAGGCATGGGGTCTCACAGCGTTACCCAGGCTGCTCTCAGTCTCCTGGATCAAGTGATTCTCCTGCCTCAGCCTGCCAAAGTGTGGGATTGCAGGCGTGAGGCACCAGGCCTGGCCTGGGATATTTTTATCACCCCAGAGAGAAGGCGTCTACTCAGGAGCAGTCACTCCCCGTTTCCCCCCAGTCTCTCCCCGTTTCCCCCCAGTCTCTCCCCGTTTCCCCCCAGTCTCTCCAGCCTCTGGAGACCACTAATCTGCCTTTTGATTCTGTGGATTTGCCTGTTCTGGGCGTTACATACAAATGACATCATACAGTATGTGGTCTTTTGGGGCTGGCTTCTTCCACTGAACATGTTTTGAAGATTCATTCATATTGCAACATCTATAAGTACTTAATTTTTTTGAGACAGAGTCTCGTTTTGTTGCCCAGGCTGGAGTGCAGTGGCATGATCACAGCTTCCCAGGTTCAAATGATTCTCCTGCCTTAGCCTCCCGAGTAACTGGGACTATGCAGGCGCCACCACTCCTGGCTAATTTTTGTATTTTTAGTAGAGATGAGGTTTTACCATGTTGCTCAGGCTGGTTTCAAACTTCTGACCTAAGGTGATCCGCCCACCTCAGCCTCCCAAAGTGTTGAGATTACAGGTGTGAGCCACCACGTCTGGCCACTACTTCAATTTTTTTTTATTGGCAAATAACATTCCATCATATATCACATGCTACTTTTTAGTTATTCATTCTCCAGTTGACATTTGGGTTGAGTAAGCAAGATTTTATTGCATTTTTATTTATTTATTTTTTGAGACGGAGTCTTGGCTCTGTCACCCAGGCTGGAGTGCAGCAGTGTGATCTCGGCTCACTGCAAGCTCTGTCTCCTGGGTTCACGCCATTCTCTTCCTGCCTCAGCCTCCCGAGTAGCTGGTAGTACAGGCGTCCACCACCATGCCCGGCTAATTTTTTGTATTTTTTAGTAGACACAGGGTTTCACCATGTTAGCCAAGATGGTCTCAATCTCCTGACCTCGTGATCTGCCCGCCTCGACTTCCCAAAGTGCTGGGATTACAGGCGTGAGCCACTGGTCCCAGCCTTTATTGCATATTTACAATGTGCTGGTATGGCAGTAGGTGGTAGAGGTGTAAAGATAAACAAGACCTTCCTTTTATGAGATGTGAGCATAGAGTAGAATTCTATAGCCTAGAGCTCACTAACTGTTTTTCTTTTTTTTTAATGGGAACTCGCAGGCCAGGAACGGTGGCTCACGCCTGTAATCCCAGCACTTCGGGAGGCTGAGTTGCGTGGATTACCTGAGGTCAGGGGTTCGAGATCAGCCTGGCCAACATGACAAAACCTTGTCCCTACTAAAAATACAAAAATTAGCTGGGCGCAGTGGTGGGTGCCTGTAATCCCAGCCACTCAGGAGGCTGAGGCAGGAGAATAGCTTGAACCTGGGAGGTGGAGTTTGCAGTAAGCTTAGATTGTGCCACAGCACTCCAGCCTGGGCAACAGAGTAAGACTTCGTCTCAAAAAAAAAAAAAAAAAAAAAAAAAAAAAAAGAAGGGTTGGAGACCTGCTGTGTTGCCTAGGCAGGTCTTAAACTCCTGGGCTCAAGCTGTCCGCCTGCCTCTGCCTCCCTGTGCTGAGGTGACAGGTGTGGACCACCACACCTAGCTGAGCTCTTTAGCTTTAGAAAAGCACTTTTCTTGCAAATAAAGAAAGGAATAGGAAGGATCACCAAGTATTAGATACCTGGGTTGGCGGGTCAGGATGAAATGGATAGAAAAGAGACAAGAGTTAAGAAGGAAAAACTTTATGGCTATTTTGTCTATAAGTATAAATCATTTATTGATACAGATGTTTCTAAAGGTTCAATCAAAAGGATCACAAAAGTATTTATAAAACGTAAGACATTTAGCTTATCTTAATATATATCAGGCTGGGCGCAAGTGGCTCATGCCTGTAATCTTAGCACTTTGGGAGGCCAGGGAGGGCAGATCACGAGGTCAGGAGTTTGAGACCAGCGTAGCCAACATGGTGAAATCCCGTCTCTACTAAAAATACAAAAAAAATTAGTGGGGTGTGGTGGCGCATGCCTGTAATCCCAGCTACTCAGGAGGCTGAGGCAGGAGAATGGCTTGAACTCGGGAGGCAGAGGTTGCAGTGAGCCGAGATTGTGCCACTGTACTTCAGCCTGGGTGACAGTGAGACTCTGTCTCAAAAAAAAAAAGCAAAAAAAAAAAGAATCCTTAGAAAGTAAAAAGTGTAATGGGACAACAATATCAAATTCTAGTCTCATATTATTTGAATTATGTCCATTTTCCTGTTAGTGTGGATGCTGGAATCTCTCGTTTTCACTGAAATTTTGAGGAATAGTGAAATAATGTGTGTGAATATAGCCTGGAAAAAGTTGTTATGGAAGCAATATTGCATTCAGGGACAATTCATAATTTGGGGACTGTTGATTGCCATTATAACTTTTAGCTGCATACATTTGGAAAGTTTATATAGCATTTTAGAAGCTAACCTCTTAGATTAATAGAGGTTAATCTTGTTAGCATGCTGAAATCTGTGTTCTATAGGATACAAGAGGAAATGAGCTAGTGACAAATTTGTTGAGTGCCTGCTTTTGTGATACATTGTGCTAATTACTTTGCAGATGCTACTTTGTTTAATCCTCATAGTAAACTTGTAGGGCAGGTATTGTTTTCTATTTTGTGGAAGATGAAACAAAAGCTTTAGAAACTTGCTGTGATTTCACAGCTATTAAATGATAGAGTTGGGATTTAATCTAAATTTTTCAAGTTCTAACCTCATGCTCTTTCATTTATACCTCACTACCAGATAGTCTTAAGGCTTGAAAGCAATACTGTGGGGTTCCCTTGAGGTTAAAATGAACGAGATGTATTTTAGGAGAACATAGACATATTTAGTCCTACTTTTATAAACCTCAGCTTCTAGAGACACTGTTCTTTGTGAATAACAGTGTTTTAAAAAATACTACCTTTTCTAGCTGGAAACAACTCTAGAAAAAAATATTTTGCTGGTTTATTATAGCGGCACAGTGTTAGTTTCACTCCCTATACTTAGGAGAAACGGGTTCAGCCAGGAAGGACAGCTGTATTTGTCTTCTACCTGGGAACAGACACAGAATGTGAGAAACACTGAAGAAACAGTTGTGAAAGATAAGATACGTAAAATCCTTTTTTTTTTTTGAGATGGAGTTTTGCTCTGTCGCCCAGGCTGGAGTGCAGTGGCGTGATCTCGGCTCACTGCAGCCTCCACCTCCCGGGATCAAGGAATTCTCCTGCTTCAGCCTCCGGAGTAGCTGGGACCACAGGCGCCCACCACGGCGCCCAGCTAATTTTTGTATTTTTAGTAGAGGCAGGGTTTCGCCATGTTGGTCAGGCTGGTCTCGAACTCCTGACCCCATGATCTACCTACCTCAGCCTCCCAAAGCACCCAGGAGCTGTTTGCCTTCCCAGTCTCCTAGTGGAAGTGGTATGAAAATGCACTTATGGGTCAGGCACAGTGGCTCACGCCTGTAATCCCAGTACTGTGGGAGGGCCAAGGTGGGCGGATCACTTGAGCTCAGGAGTTCAAGACCAGCCTGGCCAATATGGCGAAACCTTGTCTCTACTAAAAATACAAAAATTAGCTGGGCATGGTGGCGGGTACCTGTAATCTCAGCTACTCGGGAGGCTGAGGCAGGAGAATCACTTGAACCCGGGAGGCAGAGGTTGCAGTGAGCCGAGATCATGCTCCTGCACTCCAGCCTGGGCAACAGAGCGAGACTGTCTCAAAAAAAAAAAAAAAGAAAACGAAGAAAATGCACTTAGGAACCTTGGCAATTTGTCACATGATATAGGGGTGGCTGTTTTGCCTTGCTGCAGAGGAGCCATCATTCTGGACCCAGTTAGTTGGGACTGTGCTTGGATTCCCAGCCAGATTGCTCAGTCTGAACCTGAAGTCACCAGCAAGACATTTATTTTTCATGCCATAATTTACCCATTTTGTAAAAGGTTGCAACTTTCATTTGTCAGTTTCGAATACCATTTTTTCCTTCTTTCTTATGTTACAATGTTTTAGGAAGAATTTTAATCACATCATATTGAATAACTGATTTGTCTTTAAAGCTGCCTTGTTTTTTTTTAGTATTATAGTGTATGCCATTGAGTTGAACTTTCTTTTCCTTCACTTTCCTTCTCTTAAGGGCTTACGGAAACCAGCTCCTTTTTCTGATGAAATTGAAGTTGACTTTAGTAAGCCCTATGTCAGGGTAACTATGGAGGAAGCCAGCAGAGGAACTCCTTGTAAGTAAATACCTACCTAATTTGTTGTTTTACTATTGTTTTTAGCATTCCATTGTGTTTATCAAATACACACCTGCTTTCTACATACTTCCCTCCGATTGCTTGTAAAGACCAGCGGTGAAGGGGTTCTTCCCACCTGCCTTGATGTTCCATTTAGAAGGGTAACTCTACTCCATAAACTTTCATTTTTTTCTTATTATTATACACCTGTTTCCTGGGCTGTTGTTGTAGGTATGAGGTATAGTAAAGCAGAAACAATACGATATTATATTAGCCTGAGCTGAGTTATGATCTTATCTGTTTCTATAAAGTCCAAATCATATGTCAGGCTGTCACATTCTTCATAGCCTTCAGAATTCCCCACCACCTCTCTACGCTCTGTCAGCTGGCTATGATGCTGCCGATTGATAGAGAACAAAAATATCCCAGGTTGGGAGATGCTCATCACTTAATTTTATTTTTACTGATATTATAATTTTCCAGGTTCTAAAAAATACTTTATTATTTTCAAAGCCCTTGCTCTTTATTTGTATGCTTAATTTACATCATTAATTAGCAGTTTTTGACCACATAAATTACTAACATATATTCAAGATGCTTTTCTTATGTGGGGCAATTGGTTTTAGAGATCACTGTAAAAATAAACTTCCAAGAGCATTTGTTATGAATACAAAGTCTTACAGCAAATATTCTTTCTTCTCTGTAAATTCCCCCATTCTCCTTTTTTTTCCAATCCTTTTTCACTTCTTCTGATTACTATACTAAGTGTTCTTTCTACCCTGTAAATATAGGGCTGAACTAACACTCAGGCAGACACCAGGGAATAAGAGGGAGTTATAGCCACAAATCTGTGCATTTAGTATATTTGTGGTTACTTCTTAATTGTATTGGTATGTTTGCTTTCTGTTGTAACTAAAGAACAGTGAAATACAAATAGAAGTGGGCCAGGAGTGGTGGTTCACACTTGTAATCCCAGCACTTTGGGAGACCGAGGTGGGCGGATCATCACTTGAGGACAGGAGTTTGAGACCAGCCTGGCCAACATGGTGAAACCCTGTCTCTACTCAAAATACAAAAGTTAGCCAGGCGTGGTGGCAGGCCCCTGTAGTCCCAGCTACTCGGGAGGCTGAGGCACGAGAATTACGTGAACCCACTGCACTCCAGCCTGGGTGACAGAGTGAGACCCTGTCTCAAAACAAACAAAAAAACAAATAGAAGTGATGTACAGTGTCATACCGGGATTTTTTTTTCTTTTGAGGCAGAGTCTCACTCTGTTGCCCAGGCTGGTGTGCAGTGGCGCAATCTTGGCTCACTGCAACCTCTGCCTCCCGGGTTCAAGCGATTCTTCTGCCTCAGCCTCCCGAGTAGCTGGGATTACAAGTGCCCGCCACCCCACCCAGCTAATTCTTGTATTTTTAGTAGAGATGGGGTTTCACCATATTGGCCAGGCTGGTCTGGAACTCTTGACCTTGTGATCCACCCATCTCAGCCTCCCAAAGTGCTGGGATTACAGGCGTGAGCCACCGCGCCCGGCCAATACTGGGAATTTTAGCACTTACCCCTTGGCCTTATCTTGGGTATACGTATTGTGGGTTTTGGGTCCTCAACAAAAAGGAGGCTAATTCCAGAGAATCCTTTCTTTTTGAAAAAATGTTTAGATATAGTTCATATTGATCACAACCCTCTGATTCCATGATAAGATTTTTGAGTTTGGCTTCCTTTATTTGGGTAATAGGTAGGCTCCTGGAGGCAGGGTAAAATGACAAGGAAAACCAGAGACTATGAATCAGAGTGTAATGGTAGCCAGGTCTCATTTCAAAACGCCAGAAGATAGTTCAGGGTTCCCATTCAGATGAGATAGTAGAGGCTGTTGAAAGCAAGAACTTCTTACATACTCTCTAATGATACACATTTACAATCAGCTATTCATTTAGATTTGATCCGATGGGTTGCATTACCCAGTTTGTTGCTAATTTGTCCGTATATCATTTGTGGTACATAAAATTTGAAAATATGTGTACTGTTTCCAAGTTGGTCTTTTGTTTTGTTTTGTTTTGTTGTTGAGACAGAGTCTTGCTCTGTCAACCAGGTTGTAGTGCGGCGGCGTGATCTCAGCTCACTGCAGCCTTTCCCTTCTGGGTTCAAGCAGTTCTTGAGTCTCAGCCTCCCGAGTCGCTGGGACTACAGGAGTGAGCCACCGTGCCGGGCCTGTTTCCAAGTTTTAAAGCTTATAATTAACAAGTCCTGACTAGTATAACTTTTTAATTTTAGAATTATAAAATTTTACAAATAAGTCGTTTTCAAGATTATCAACTTTATAGTTTCTTCATTATGTACATAAAGCAGTTATAGTCCATAGTAACTAAGAAGTGAAGGCTCCCCTACAGTAAAACAGATAATTAGTGGGATAGAATTGCAGCTAAAACCTCACCCTGAAATGGTGCTACTCCTTGTAAGCATTAGAATAGAAGGCCTTCAGCAAAGTAATTGTATTTTTGGTGGAACAAACTGCCACAAATTAGCCTATAAATTTGCCAGCTTAATTTGAACTCTGGGTTTTCTCTTAGATCTCATTTTGTCTGACTGTTGTATGTTAAATCACCAAGCAGCTAACTGCATTTATGTCAGTGCAGGACAAGGAATAAAGCAATGAAGAATGCACATGCTCTAGGGAAGTCTCCACACCTCCCTCCTGCTCCCCACGTTTTTTACGAGGGAGGTTGTATAATCTAGGAGAAGATTCTCCACTTAGAGAAAAACAAATATGATTTGAGAGACAAGAAGGTCAGCTCTGGGAATCTTTTGGAAGATGAAAAAAATCAGCAATATGTTTAACTCAGAGAAAGGAAGGAAAAGGGAGAGTGTGAAGGGCAATGGAAATCTGTTAGGAACAGAATGTTTCAGTGGTAGGTATTTGGGAGAATAAATACATCCAAAGAGATCATTAATTGGAACCCAGGTTTCTTCTGCCTAAAGGAGGACATATGGTTACTTAGTCACCAGTGGTGCAGCGTATAGTATAATTCATGATCCATATAAACCATATAATTTATCATCCAAATCAGGACAGTTTTGAGCATGAAAGGGAGTTGCTGTTAATAGTATACAGAGGTTGAGTGTGGTGGCTCAAGACAATAATCCCAGCACTTTGGGAGGCCAAGGCAGAAGGATTGCTTGAGGATAGGAAGACCTATCCTCAAGACCTATCCTTAAGACCAGCCTGGGCAATACAATGAGATCCATCTCTACAAAAAATTTAAAAATTAGCCAAGTGTGGTAGTGTGCATCTATAGTCCCAGCTACTCAGGAGTCTGAGGTGAGAGGATCGTTTGAGCCCAGGAGGTCTAGACTACAACAAGCCATGATTGCACCACCACACTTCAGCCTGGGTGACAGAGACCCTATCTTAAAAAAAAAAAAAAAAAAAAATACATGCATATACATATACATATACACACACACACACACACACACACACACACACACACACACATATGCCGGGTGCGGTGGCTCACACCTGTAATCCCAGCACTTTGGGGGGCTGAGGTGGGTGGATCACAAGGTCAGGAGATCGAGACCATCCTGGCTAACACAGTGAAACCCCCTCTCTACTAAAAATGCAAAAAATTAACTGGGCGTGGTGGCACATGCCTGTAATCCCAGCTATTGAGGAGGCTGAGACAGGAGAATCACTTGAACCTGGGAGGCGGAGGCTGCAGTGAGCCGAGGTCACGCCACTGCACTCTAGCCTGGGCGACAGAGTGAGACTCCATCTCAAAAAATATATATATATAAAAAAATATATATATATAAAAAATATATGCATAATATATAAATGATATCAAATATGTATTATATTACATTATATAATAGAAACATTAAACATTATATTAAAAGGATATAATTTATATAAATATGATTATATGTACTATAATATACATTAAATCAGGGGTGTGGTTATCCTGGCCAATAGCCACTTGGTAAAAGAATGGCTAACGCTAACTTTCTTCCCAGACTAGTTCAACAGTGACCCCTTCTGGCCGTTTGGTTAATATGTCAGCCTGGGTTTGCCAAAGGCGGGATGGAATGGTGGCCAGTTGAGACGTTGGTAGGCTGGGGAAGCACTGGAGAGAGCAAGAGGAGCATCTGGGATTGGTCTGAGAAAAGGTTCAGTGATCTACTTGGCCTAACCTAGGATGATTAGCTGTGCTGCAAGCAGCCACTTGATCAACAGCCTTCTGTGTTATTGCCGCCATCCAGGCAATGAGAAAATTTCCCTGCTCTATGCTGTCTAGTAGCAAAGAAACAACAAAATAGTCTTAATTTGCATATTCTATCCCTTGTGTTTCAGGATCAAATAGTGTGAGATTGTAGCCCCTCTGGACTTGTTTAGGAAAAATGGAGGTATGTTAGTTACTTCATGGACATGACTTCTGGGATACTTCAAAAAAAGATTTTTTTTTTTTTTTTTTTTTTTTGAGACAGAGTCTCCCTCTGTCTCCCAGGCTGGAGTGCAGTAGCGCAATCTCAGCTCACTGGAACCTCCGCCTCCCGGGTTCAAGAGATTCTCCCGCCTCAGCCTCCCGAGTAGCTGGGATTACAGGCGCCCACCACCATGCCCAGCTAATTTTTGTATTTTTAGTAGACACAGGGTTTCACCATATTGGCCAGGCTGGCCTCAACTGCTGACCTCAGGTGATCTGCCTGCCTCGGCCTCCCAAAGTGCTGGGATTACAGGCGTGAGCCACCATGCTCGGCCCAAAAATCTTTTTAATGTATTATTTTTTAATAGGCATAGAGCCAATGCAGTGACTTCTGGGATATAGAAGGGGGATTATATGCTCAGATTTTTTTTTATTTTGCTTTGTCTTATTAAAAATTATCTTTTTAAAAATAATTTTTTTCTTCTTTTTTTTAGTTGACACATGGTGGCAGTAAAAAATAATTTTAATAGAGATAGGGTTTCACTGTGTTGCCCAGGCTGGTCTCAAACTCCTGGGCTCAAGCAGTCCTCCTGCCCTGGTCTCCCAACGTGCTGGAATTACAGGTGTGAGCTCCTGTACCCGGCCTGCTTTCTCTCATAGATGAGAAAACTGAGGCATAAGGAAGTTAAGGTTACAGAGGAACAAAGCTGATTGGAAAGCTTGAGCTATGACCTTTCTGACTCTTAAATCCGTTAAATTAATTCTTAGTTTTCCATTGGATTGGTATATTTAATGTAAAATTTTTATTTCCTGTATTATAACATCAATACAACCAGCCTGGGCTGGGCGCGGTAGCTCACGCCTGTAATCCCAGCACTTTGGGAGGTCAAGGCAGGCGGATCACTTGAGGTCAGGACATTGAGACCAGCTTGGCTAACATGGGATACGAATATAAAAATACAAAAATTATCCCGGCATGGTGGCTTTCGCCTGTAATCCCAGTGACTTGGGAGGCTGAGGCAGGAGAATCACTTGAACCTGGGAGGCAGAGGTTGCATGAGCCTAGATCATGTCACCACCCTCCAGCTTGGGTGACAGAGCAAGACTCCATCTCAAATAAATAAGTAAATAAATAAATACATAAAATACAGCTAGCTTGGGCAACATGTGAAACCCCATCTCTACAAAAAATATAAAAATTAGCCGGGCATGGTGGTGTGTACCTGTAGTCCCAGCTACTTAGGTGGCTGTGGTGGGAGGATCATTTGAGCCTGGGAGGTGGAGGTTTCAGTGAGCTGAGACCATGCCACTGCACTCCAGCCTGGGTGACAGAGCCAGACCCTGTTTCAAAAAATCACATCAAATGAAATCAATATATTCCCACAGTTTAATATCCATAAAGTACAAAAAGGGCATAAAGTAAAATGTCTTCCTCTCAAGACCTGTCTCACAGCCACCTGGTGTCTCTATAACAGGCCACCAATATTACCCATTTCTGTGAATAGCTAAGTAAATTGTTTATATATCCTCCCACCTTTTAGTGGGTGTATTATGCTATATTCAATCTTCCATTGAAATGTAGGTCATTTCCTATAAACTGTACTGCAATGAATAACGTCAGTATTTACTGTGAGAGAATTCCCAGAATTAGAATGGCTGGGCCAAAGCTATAAGCATTTGTCGTTTGTCTTTTGATAGATACGACCTAATTGCCCCTCTTGGAAGTTGCTGATACTCCTTTCAGCAGTGTATTATTTCTTGGTTTAAAATCTACTTGTTTATCAATAAAGTTTTTTGAAAACAAAACTTCATAAACCTCCTGAGAACCAATTCTCTTCTCCTTGTTTCATTGCCCTGAAGAGAGGAAGGAGATGTATCTGACCCTCAGCCTCAGTGTATCTGACCCTCAGCCTCAGTGTATCTGACCCTCAGCCTCAGTGTATCTGACCCTCAGCCTCAGTGTATCTGACCCTCAGCCTCAGTGTATCGGACCCTCAGCCTCAGTGTATCGGACCCTCAGCCTCAGTGTATCGGACCCTCAGCCTCAGTGTATCTGACCCTCAGCCTCAGTGTACCTGACCCTCAGCCTCAGTGTATCTGACCCTCAGCCTCAGTGTATCTGACCCTCAGCCTCAGTGTATCTGACCCTCAGCCTCAGTGTATCTGACCCTCAGCCTCAGTGTACCTGACCCTCAGCCTCAGTGTATCTGACCCTCAGCCTCAGTGTATCTGACCCTCAGCCTCAGTGTATCTGACCCTCAGCCTCAGTGTATCTGACCCTCAGCCTCAGTGTATCTGACCCTCAGCCTCAGTGTATCTGACCCTCAGCCTCAGTGTATCTGACCCTCAGCCTCAGTGTACCTGACCCTCAGCCTCAGTGTATCTGACCCTCAGCCTCAGTGTACCTGACCCTCAGCCTCAGTGTATCTGACCCTCAGCCTCAGTGTACCTGACCCTCAGCCTCAGTGTACCTGACCCTCAGCCTCAGTGTATCTGACCCTCAGCCTCAGTGTATCTGACCCTCAGCCTCAGTGTACCTGACCCTCAGCCTCAGTGTATCTGACCCTCAGCCTCAGTGTATCTGATTCTCAGCCTCAGTGTATCTGACCCTCAGCCTCAGTGTATCTGACCCTCAGCCTCAGTGTATCTGACCCTCAGCCTCAGTGTATCTGATTCTCAGCCTCAGCACAGTGTATCTGATGACACTTTGACCTGTCTTTCCCAAATGATGTAAATGCTCCTACTGTTATTTTCTGCTGCAGTAAAATAGCTCTTCCTTTATTCACATAAAGGGATAAGTTACATGGACTCCTTATATTTATTATTTAAAGCATGGCGAACCATTATGCTGATCTCGTTTTTAATGTTTATTTGGCTTTGGAATTAGCCTTGTTCCCCAGGAAATCATTTCCTGGCTTCTAAGTTGACAGCTCTCTTATTAGTTGTGCCTGACAAGTTTGGTACAACCAGGCTACCAGAGGCAGGTAGTGCAGATGATGATGTTAAAAATCTCTTTATAGGCTGAGTATGGTGGCTCACACCTGTAATCCCAGCATTTTGGGAGGCCAAGGTGGGATTGCTTGAGTCCAGAAGTTCAAGACCAGCCTGGGCAACATGGTCTCTACAAAAAATAATAATAAAAAAAAATTAGCTGGCATGGTGGTGTGCATCTGTGGTCCCATCTACTTCGGAGGCTGAGATGGGAGGATCACTTGAGCCCAGGAGGTCAAGGCTGCAGTGAGCTCTGATCGTACCACTGCACTCCAGCCTGGATAACAGAGTGAGACCCTGTCTCAAAAATGAAAAGGTGTTTATAGTCAAGTTATTTTTCATAACCCAACCTACCCCCAAATTAGGGTGAATACCCAGAGAACATCTAAAGAAAGGAGTATGCAATGGGGCAGGGCGCAGTGGCTCACACCTGTAATCCCAGCACTTTGGGAGGCTGAGGCTGGCAGATCATTTGAGACCAGGAGTTCGAGACCAGCCTGGCCAACAAGGAAAAACCCCATCTCTGCTAAAAACACAAAAATAGCCAGACATGATGACATGCACCTGTAGTCCTAGCTACTTGGGAGGCTGAGGCAGGAGAACCACTTGAATCCAGGAGGTGGAAGGTGCAGTGAGCCGAGATCATGCCACTGTACTCCAGCCTGGGCAACAGAGTAAGACTTGGTCTCAAAAAAAAAAAAAAAAGTATTTTTGTGATCTATTCTTTCATTTGGATTTAGGTGAGCGACCTGTGAGAGTTTACGCCGATGGAATATTTGACTTATTTCACTCTGGTCATGCCCGAGCTCTGATGCAAGCAAAGAACCTTTTCCCTAATACGTACCTCATTGTGGGAGGTAAGAAAACATTTGGTGACTCCAGGTGCAGTGCAGAAAAAGATGATAGTAGAGTCTGTATTTCTCTTCTGTCTTTATAACCTGAGTACACCGGCTCTTATTTCCGTTTTTAAGTGAAGGATGTAGTACAGCCTCTCTAAAACATGAAATATATGAGGTACCAGCAACCTAAACCTGGAGAGAGGAGCTTCAAGCTCATTGACTGTGACGTCTGACATTTATCTCACTGTTTTTAGCCGAGTTTCTGCCAGTCACAGGAGCAACAATGACTTCTGTTGCCCAGTTAAAAAACATTTGCTTTAGATTTCACTTTATTACTTTGAATCAACTGGAATACAAAAGTCTGCCAAGGAAATGTCATGTGGTCCAGTCCAGTGTGAATAAAATAGGAACACATGTTTAAGGACTTAATTGATACAGACATGCACAGCAGGTTGATTTCAGAGTCGAAGATCTTGGTCACCTGTTGTGCCGTCTCTTCTCCAAAGTACGAACATACTATTTAGTGAGTGTTGCTCCTGAAGGTATACGCTGCATTAGGAGAAGCGTTGTTACCCAGGTTCAACTGCCTTTAGAAGACTTTTCTTCAGTTGGGGAAGATGGTTGCAGTCCTAAGCAGTGGGAGAAGATGGGAGAGGTCAGTGGCTGAGGAGTGGCTAAGCAAAGAGGACTCCGACCCACAGTTTATGATGTGGTGAACTCAGTTTGCAGTGATGAGCTCACACACAACTTCAAAGGCTTCACGGTGATGAATGAGAACGAGCGCTATGACGCAGTCCAGCACTGCCGTTATGTGGATGAGGTGGTGAGGAATGCGCCCTGGACCCTGACACCTGAGTTCCTGGCCGAACACCGGGTAAGAAACTGGACACATATTTCCCTTCCTTGTTCCAGAATCCCCTCAACTCTCACGACTGCTGGCACGCAGGCTGGTTTTCCACTAGCTCTGTTTGACTTCTACCTCATATGTAAGTTTCATAGGAGATGACAGTGATATTACTAGTGATAATAGTCATCCCTGACGTTTATGTGGGGTTGGATGGTTTGCAAGCACTTTTACATCCATTCTATTCCATTTTCTCCCCACAACAATCCTGTGGTGTGGTTATCATTTCTACTTTACATGTGAGTAACAAGTCCTAGAGAAACCAAATAACCTGCTCCAAGTTACACCATTGGCAGAGCTGGGAATTGAACTTGTCAGTTACGAGACTTTTCCCCCCACACCACAGGCATGTCTACCCTTAGAACGTGCCAGTCTCCTGAGAATATCCATAGCCCCAGGCGAACTCTGAAGACGGTCACATTACCAGGAAACAAGATGGATTAACATAGACTTCTCTTGGCTTAAGTTTCATTTCAGGGCTTTGGTCTTAGGCTAGAAATTGGGTGGAATCAGAAACCAAGGATATTTCTTACTGTTTCTCAGTAAGTTATTATCAACCCCTTACCTCCTTTTAATTCTCCCACATTAAAGTAACAGATTTCAGCCAGGTGCAGTGGCTCATGCCTGTAATCCCAGCACTTTGGGAGACCAATGTGGGAGGATCGCTTGAGCCCAGGAGTTCGAGACCAGCCTGGGCAACATAACGAGACCCTGTCTCTACTTTTTAAAAAAAGCCACAGGTTTCCTGCAAAAGGTGGGTATAAAAGATGAGAAGGATTGATTAGGCCAGGTTAGAGGTCCCCACGCCTGAGGAAACAGCAAGCATGTTGTCAGTTCTCTACAGGGGCGTGTGGAATGTTGTAGGTAAATTGTTGAGTGAGGCAGAAAGAATAAAGGCAGCCAAAGGGCTTCTAAAGCAATACATGGGTAGGCCTGAAGAGGGGATATTTACTGTAACTATTGAGGATTGGGACAGATCTTCTATAATTCTCTGACTTTTCTACATCAACACTTAGCAGCCAGTGGCTCCAAAAGTGGTAAGCAAGCTTATTCTCAGCATCACAGCCCGCAGGCCCACACAGAAGTATGAGGTTAGAGGAATTTCTGTTTGTTTGTTTTTTTTTTTTTTTTTTTTGAGACGGAGTCTCGCTCTGTCGCCCAGGCTGGAATGCCGTGGCGCGATCTCGGTTCACTGCAAGCTCCACCTCCCAGGTTCACGCCCTTCTCCTGCCTCAGCCTCCCGAGTAGCTGGGACTACAGGCGCCCACCACCTCGCCCGGCTAGTTTTTTGTATTTTTTAGTAGAGACGGGGTTTCACTGTGGTCTTGATCGCCTGACCTTGTGATCCACCCACCTCAGCTTCCCAAAGAGCTGGGATTACAGGCGTGAGCCACAGCACCCGGCTGGTTAGAGGAATTTCTAACTCTGCTTTTCTCTTTGTTAACAGTATATACTCAACTCTAAGTTTTGCTTTCCCATTCTTTTTTTTTTTTTTTTTTTGAGATGGAGTCTCGCTCTGTTGCCCAGGCTACGGTGCAGTGGCGCGATCTCGACTCACTGCAACCTCCACCTCCCAGTTTCAGGCGATTCTCTTGCTTCAGCCTCCCAAGGAGCTGGGATTACAGGCGCCACCACCACGCCCGGCTAATTTTTTTGTATTTTTAGTAGAGACGGGGTTTCACCATGTTAGCCAGGATGGTCTCAATCTCCTGACTTCATGATCCGCCTGCCTCAGCCCCCCAAAGTGCTGGAATTACAGGCATGAGCAACCGTGCCTGGCCTTCGGCCTCCTGTTCTTTACTTTGTGCCTATGGATCCCTGACAAGTTGTTCATGAGTAATTGAGATGCTAGCTGAGGGTCTCTGACATAGTCCCAGTGAACATGCTTCACACTACAGTAGTCTCTGGAGGTTGGTAGAGTGATCTTAGTAATTATCAGCAAAAGGCTGGTGGCCCATTCAGGAAGGAGTAAGTGAAGTTTAGCATGTCTCTGAACAACGTTATTGATCCCCAGTGTCATTCGTCTCTTCTTGCTCTTGCAAAGGATATTCATAGTAGTAAAATGGCCGGGCGCGGTGGCTCACGCCTGTAATCCCAGCACTTTGGGAGGCCGAGTCAGGTAGATCACTTGAGGTCAGGAGTTCGTGACCAGCCTGGCCAACATGGTGAAACCCCGTCTGTACTAAAAATTCAAAGATTATCCTGGCGTGGTGACATGCACCTGTAGTCCCAGCTACTCGGGAGGCTGAGGCAGGAGAATTACTTGAATCCAGGAGGCAGAGGTTGCAGTGAGCCGAGATCATGCCGTTGCACTCCAGCCTGGGTGACAGAGCGATACTTGGTCTCAAAAAAAAAAAAAAAAAAGGTAGTAAAATGATAGATCCTGAGGATAAAATGTCTTTTATGGCTTTGGGTTTGTATTTCTCAGGAGTATAGATGTATGTATTCCAGTCATAGGGCTGGTGGTTGCTATTTTTATATTCCCTCTTTTCTCACGGACTGAGAGAAACCAGTTAGGAAAGAAGTAACCTCTTTCTCATATTTTTTTTTTTTTGGAGACAGTCTTGCTCTGTCACCCAGGCTGGAGTGCAGTGGTGCGGTCTCAGCTCACTGTAGCCTCTACCTTCCGGGTTCAAGCAATTCTGCCTCAGCCTCCCAAGTAGCTGGGATTACAGTCGCCGGTCCCCATGCCTGGCTTATTTTTTTGTATTTTTAGTAGAGATGGGGTTTCACTGTGTTAGCCAGGATGGTCTTAAACTCCTGACCTTGTAATCTGCCTGCCTTGGCCTCCCAAAGTGCTGGGATTACAGGTGTGAGCCACCGCGCCCGGCCTTTCTCATACTTTTAGAAACCCTTATTTGACCAAATCCTTCCAGACCCAGGACAGGGAGATTTCCTTCTTTCCTAGGCTCCACCCACTAACTGGTTCACCAGCAAACCCTCTGGCCCTGTTGACCACAGCAAGATGACTGGTGTCCAGAGTGAGGGTAACGGTTCTAGTAGACTAGGAGAAACAGCGAGAAAAGCAGCTGGCTAACTTTCTATTTATGCTCCATAAATCATTAGGTTGGGTGGTTTGTGAATAGATTGTAGCCTGACCTCTGCTTATTGTCCTTTTTCTGGGCCTAAGAACATTGACTGGGTCTTTCTGAATGGCAGTTATCGTGGGTTTTAATGATGTTTCCTTATTTTCAGATTGATTTTGTAGCCCATGATGATATCCCTTATTCATCTGCTGGAAGTGATGATGTTTATAAGCACATCAAGGAGGCAGGTGAGTGACCTGATGTGCTTCCTCACTTTAGGGGATCTCAGGGCAGCTGTAGATGTTCAGCCGTGTTGCTACTTTACAGAGGAAAATGTGTACATTAGAAATTCAACATCCTCTTTCAGGCCACATTTTGGATAAAAGGTAAAGATGAGCATAGCATTCATCAATTCTTCATCATCAGTTCATGACATCCATCAATTCTTGGTATAAACATCTACTTTTGATATCTCTCTTAATTTCAGGAAACGCTTTCTCATATTTTTCGTAATATTAGGGCTATGTAACTCTTCTTTGCCTTACCTCTGGACTTTCATTCAGTCTTCCTTCTGTATATCAGTATCTCTCCATTTCATTTAGTAATAACAGATTCTGCTTTTTGAGGAAAGGAAAGGAACGTTGCCCCCAGTTTCCATTTAGTCTTAATACCTGAGCTAACCAGAACCTCACAGTGTTTGTCTGTATGTGTTTCTGAGTCAGGCATGTTTGCTCCAACACAGAGGACAGAAGGTATCTCCACGTCAGACATCATCACCCGAATTGTGCGGGACTATGATGTGTATGCGAGGCGGAACCTGCAGAGGGGCTACACGGCAAAGGAGCTCAATGTCAGCTTCATCAACGTGAGTTCCAACCGCACCCCAGACTTCCCTGACTCTGTGGGATACGTATTGCCTCTCACTCCATCTTAGCTGAACTGGCTTTGCAGTTAGCTCTAATGATCACTCCCAAAAGTTCAGTGAATGAATTACCACTATGTTAACTGTTTACAAAAAGAATGAAACAGTTTCTGCCGTTACGGTCTAGTACCAACACATTGGTATAAAGCCATACAGCCAACAAAATAAATAAGAAAGAGTAATTTAGATAGTACAGTATTTCTGTTAATAAATTGAAAACTGTGTCTCTTAAACTTCCTTTTTCTTTTTTGGTTGGATGATCTTTTGGAAACCTCCTTAAGCCTATGAACCCTGTCCCCGTGTGGACAGTGACACACGACACACCACTTCCCCCCATAGACCTGAGTTTTAAATTTTGATTGATGAAAGCTTAAGTTTATCTTAGCTTACTATTGCCTTTTAGAAACTCTGTATATTTTACTGGGCTTGGTGGTTCATGCCTGTAATCCCAGTACTTTGGGAGGCTGAGGCGGGAGGACTGCTTGAGGCCAGGAGTTTGAGACCAGTCTGAGGCAGCATAGTGAGACCCCATCTCTAAACAAACAGGCAAACAAAAAAACTCATATATATATGTATGTAGTGTATATATATGTATGTAGTATAGATATATTCATTGTTTTTGTAAACAGTTATATATATATATTGCAGTATATATATATGTACACACACTACATATATATATGTAGTATTTCTTTCTTTTTGAGACAGGGTCTTGCTCTGTTGCCCAGGCTGGAGTGCAGTGGCATGATCTCGGCTCGCTGTGGCCTCTGTCTCCTGGGTTCAAGTGATTCTGGTGCCTTAGCCTCCTGAATAGCAGTGATTACAGGCTTGTGCCACCACGCCTGGCTAATTTTTGTATTTTTTTTTTAGCAGAGATGGGGTTTCGCCATGTTTCCCAGGCTGGTCTTGAACTCCTGGCCTCAAGCGATCGGCCCCCCTTGGCCTCCCAAAGCGCTGGGATTACAGGCATGAGCTACCGTATCTATCCGACACCATACATTTTGTATGTAAATTAGACCTCAATAAAATTAATTTAAAAAGAAGAAAGCTGCTAACTTTAATGTCTCCTACATAATCAGTTTACCATGCTCCCCCACCTGCTCCCATCTCTGTGAATTGTGCTATGAGAACGGATAAAATGATTACATCTAAATATGATTTATCTAGGCAGACAAACACTAGCTCTTGTTAATTTATTTACTATAGCTTTATTTTTTCCCATAAAAATCAGGTGTTTAAAAATTCTAAACATATTCCCTTTCCTCTTTATGATCTGGAAATTAGGAGAGCACTTTTCTTTTTCTTTTTTTGAGATAGAGTAACACTCAGTCACCCAGGCCAGAGTACAGTGGCGCAATCTTGGCTTACTGCAGCCTTGACCTCCGGGCTCAAGTGATCCTCCCATCTCAGCCTCCTGAGTAGCTGGGACTATGGGCACAGGCCACCATACCCAGCTAATTTTTTATATTTTTATTTTTAGTAGAGATGAGGTCTTGCTATGTTGTCTAGGCTGCTTTCGAGTTCCTGGCCTCAAGCAGTCCTCCCACCTCGGCTTCCCAAAGTGCTGGTATTACAGGCAGGAGCCACTGTGCCTGGCCAAGGATACTTTTCGTTTGACTAAAGACTCCCCTCCCCTCCGCCACAGGGTTTATACCGTTTTCCTTTTCTTTAGCAAAGTCGGTAGGGCCAACGAGTGTCCGCATTTCGCAGGTGAGTAAACGGACCTTAAAACACGAAAGCAGCAAAAGCGGAAACACAGCTCATTAAAATAATAGAGTCAGCCAGCGACAGGGGAGACGCAGTTCGATGAGCAGATGAAGCGGAAGATCAGTGTTTTCTCCCTCGATCCATCGTGATGCGTTATTCTCGGCAGTGCTGTGCAGGGATCTTTAGCTGCTCTGTATTCTCTCTGTGATTTATTTGTTTGGGTCTTTGTTTTTTTTTGTTTTTTTCCAGTGCTGTGCAGGGATCTTTAGCTGCCTCTGTATCTCCCTCTGGAATGAGGTTTGGGTCATGCTGGGCATGTTTATGTTCCAAGTTTATGTTTTATCTTTAAAACTCTGACGTTATTTGGCTACCTGCCTGTGACTGGGTATAGCCTATATTTTTAGTTTATTCCCAAATGCCCACAATATTAGCATTACTATTTTGTGTGTGCATCCACAGCATATCTTATCTGTTATTATGCTAATGACATGTGGGGTAGATTAAAGCAAAGCAGAATTCTAGACTGAAAACAGTGTCAGTTGAGTGCTTGAGCCATTTTTTTTGTTCTCTTATGGTAGAGAAGTTGGGCATAGCATTATTTCTCAAAATAGTTGTTTCTTTATCTAGGAGAAGAAATACCACTTGCAGGAGAGGGTTGACAAAGTAAAGAAGAAAGTGAAAGACGTGGAGGAAAAGTCCAAAGAATTTGTTCAGAAGGTGGAGGAAAAAAGCATTGACCTCATTCAGAAGTGGGAGGAGAAGTCCCGAGAATTCATTGGAAGTTTTCTGGAAATGTTTGGTCCGGAAGGAGCGCTGGTATGTTCTTCCCCACTGGACAGTGTAGGGAGCTCCCATGTTGTGGAAAGAATTACAGAATCATCGAGCAGAAAGGGACGTCGACAATTAAGGAGTGATCTAGTCTAGTCCCCTTATCTGGGCAGAACTGTCTTTCAACTGTCCCCAGCAAGGTTTTTGAAATCTTTACAGAAAGAGGTTACACATTCTCCTAGATAATTTTGCCAGCTCTCTATCAACCTTGAAATCTGGTGACAAGAGAAGCAAAACGCCTTGCCCAGCTTTTATTTGTGGTATGATTTTAGATAGAAGGAAAGGAAAGAATAAAGAATAATAAAAAGAAAGCAGCCTCCACTCCAAGTAGCTGCAGCATGAACCCCAGGTAAGGTGGGAATTCTATCTTTGAGGAGTAGCAGTCTTTTCAGCCAAATAAAAGATTGAGCAAGTGAGTCCTAGGTTAGATATCAGGAAGGATCTGTCTGTGAAGGTGTTTGGATGGATTAGAATAATCCTAGAACAGATTATTCGGGAAGAATGGGGAATTTCCCGGGTAATGATAGCAGGTGAGAACCGTTAAATCAGTAGTACAGCATAGACTGCCCTAGTCCCAGATGCTTCAGTGACGGTTCAGTGGGATCCGCGGTATTGCTTCTGACTCTTCCTTTCGGTTTCTCCAGAAACACATGCTGAAAGAGGGGAAGGGCCGGATGCTGCAGGCCATCAGTCCAAAGCAGAGCCCCAGCAGCAGCCCCACTCGCGAGCGCTCTCCCTCCCCCTCTTTTCGATGGCCCTTCTCTGGCAAGACTTCCCCACCTTGTTCCCCAGCAAATCTCCCCAGGCACAAGGCTGCAGCCTATGATATCAGTGAGGATGAAGAAGACTAATTTTCCTCCCTCCTTTCCTCTCCTCTCCCTCTGTCCCATGACCTTCGAAGCTCTCTGTTGAATTCCAGACTGTGACCCCAACACTAAACCTAAGGACAGCTACAAAGGAAAGACAACTGGGGCAAGAGGACCCTGGACTGGGGGAACCAGAACAGCCTGTCCTCCAAGTGACATCACTCGCCCACACAAAGGAGGGGCTGCACCTTAGAAGCCTGCTCTGCACCCATTTACCCTCCCCGAGGGCTTTGTTTCACTGTTTGTGTTCACGTGATCTCAACAGGGAAATCGTCATTTTTATTACGTTTTTTTAAAATTAGTCTTTCAAATGTAGAACTAATTTTTTGCCCGAGGAGTGGGCAGAAGAAGGAGGTAGTGTAATACGCAGAGGCCTTTCCTTCCCAATACACTATAGCATTTGCCTTCCGTTCTGAAGCGAAGTGGCTTGCCAAGTCCTTCACGAAATGAGCCATGCTGATGGGTAATCTGTGGAGAAATATCTTAATTTTGATTTCCTTAAGGAAAAGCTAACAGCCAAGTTACAGTCACAAATCCCCTCAACGTACTGCTGTCACCAGTGTCATTGTGGCTGTAGGAAGGAGATCTGAGCCTAACTTGTCTCACTCTCTGAGGAGTTTCTTACTGGACCCAATGGGGGCCATGAAGACACTGACGGGGACGGAAGCATGGCGTCAGCTGCAGTGTTTCTGCTGTGTTCATCTTCTCAGAAATTCTGTGTCTGCTGTGTTCATCTTCTCAGAAATTCTGTGACCCGGTTCTCTGGGAGCCTTTGTGAGTCTCTTTCCTGCCATCTACCGTCAAAGGAAGGAACGCTTTTCGGGTTACGAGGATGAGGAGAGGAGCGGGACAATACTCAATCCCATGCCAAGTCAGTTGAGATTCGTTTCCTACTGGGAGGAGGGCCTGGCCCTGCTACTCCTATTTGAATGTTATTAACGTTACCTAGGCTTTTACAGAGGATACTTTGTAAATGTCTGCCGTTGGAACTTGATGTCAATCCCTTTTGGTAGTAGCCATATTGAATAGAGAGATTTGCACAGAATGTAGAAGCAAAAGCATAGGAAACACCTTCCTTTCTGAAGCAACAGCCTCATCATCTTGACCTCTGTCCCTCTTAAGAACATTCTTCACTGGAACCAGAGCTCCACAGAGTCTTTCTTTTCCTCGGAGAGCCGCGGCTGGCAGGGACCTCCCTCCACCGCCCTCCAGCAAGCCACAGAGCATGCCCTCACGGGACAAGATGTGGTAGGTTTTCTCCTTTTCTCCCCACTTCTCACACACGCCTGGTGGTTGTGGTGCCATCTCCATGTTAGCTTGCCTGGGGGGATTCAACATTCCAATCGAAGGATGCTAACACCTAACACCTGTGCTCACGCCTAACACCTGCCCTCACGCCTAACACCTGCGCACACGCCTAACACCTGCCCCAACGCCCAACACCTGCCCCAACGCCCAACACCTGCCCCAACGCCCAACACCTGCCCTCACGCCCAACACCTGCCCCAACGCCTAACACCTGCCCCCACGCCTAACACCTGCCCCAACGCCTAACACCTGCCCTCACGCCCAACACCTGCCCCCACGCCTAACACCTGCCCTCACGCCTAACACCTGCCCTCACGCCTAACACCTGCGCACACGCCCAACACCTGCCCCAACGCCTAACACCTGCCCTCATGCCCAACACCTGCCCCCACGCCTAACACCTGCCCTCACGCCTAACACCTGCCCTCACCCCTAACACCTGCCCTCACGCCTAACACCTGCTGTTGAGCATGATCTAACTTTCAAAGCCCTGGCCTCCTGTCTCCTTAGCTACTTAGCTACATGGCCTAGCAGATCATCAGCCATCAGTAATCCTGTGGCTAGATTCAGGGGAAAATGGCTTCTGTCCAGGCCCCACCCCCTGTCACTCATAAATACCCCTTGTGGGGGTGGAGTTTTAGTGTTTTCAGCTAAGAAAACCACATTTTCTCTTTTCTTGCCTCTCCGCTAGGACTGTGAGCATCTCCTAGTCCAGCCCTTAAACACTTTCTGGTAACACCTGTTCTTCCACCTGAGGGTCAGAGGCTGGAATCATTGCCTGCACAGCAGGACTATCTAGGTTCTTAAAACTTGGATCGCCCAGGCCAGGCGCAGTGGCTCACGCCTGTCATCCCAGCAGTCTGGGGGGCTGAGGCTGGTGGATCACTTGAGGCCAAGAGGTTGAGACCAGCCTGACCAACATGGTGAAACCCCGTCTCTACTAAAAATACAAAAATTAGCCAGGCGTGGTGGTGCGCACCTGTAATCCCAGCTACTTGGAAGGCTGAGGCAGGAGAATCCCTTGAACGGAGGCGGAGGTTGCAGTGAGCCAAGATGGTGCCACTGCACTCCAGCCTGTGTAACAGAGTGAGACTCTGTCTCCAAAACAAAACAAAACAAAACCACACACACAGAAATAAAAAGAAATAATAAAAATAAATAAATAAAAATACTTGGATCACCCAGAAAGTTAGAGCGTCACAGAGGAGAGGGAGAATGAAGCCTCTTGTTATCCTGATCGCCTATGAAAATGACATTTCTAACTCTTCTCTTGAAGCGCAGTTCTTACTGTCAAAACTGGTCATACAGGCTTTGGCCTGGAGTCCTGTCTTTGAAACAGTTGAAGTTAGTGTTTTCCTGTATTCCCCAGCGTTATATAGTCTCATCTTATCTGCGCCAGCCTTCGCGCTCTGGGAATTCTGCCTGCTTCCGTCTGACTGACTCTCCCTGGGGTGGAGAGGCAGTGAAGCCTCTTCTGAAGCCCATCGACGTGGTTCCTCCGAGTGCACATTACGCAAGTGTGTTTGGATAGACAGGGAGATGCCCAGAACGTGGTTTTCCTCCCTCCCCACGGGAGCCACACCTCCTACATACATAGTCTGGGTCCCAGATGTTTGGCCCTTTTCCTCTGCTCTCAGTGGGCTGCTTTTGGCATGCCCTGGGCTTGGAACGGACCTGCAGGCTGACAGACCTCTGAGACTGCTAGGGCCAGCAAACGTACATGTTCTTGGGAAACTCCCTTTCCCCTTTTGGTGAGTTTCTACCACCTCAGTCTAATCGTTTTTTCTGAAGCTGTTTGTTTGACTGAAGCTGAAGTCTTTTATGGTGTGGCATATTAGATACTTTGGGGTAAATGTGGTCTTAGGTGCTGGACAAGCATGGGTAGACAGAGGAAGCTGTTGGAATGTTGCATAATTTGGTCATCTGTGCCTAATTAAATGAGGTTAGAGGTGTGTACACCACAACAATGCCTGGGATCTAAATCTTCAGATATTAATGTTTGAGGCTATGGAGCCGTTTCCCTGATTCCCGTACAAGAAAGCAGCCAACATGGATGGGCCAAGTGTGGCCAAGATGACGGAGCCAGAAATGCTGGCCTTAGAGTAGAGCCTCTGTGTGTGAGACGTAAGAAGGCCAGAGCCCTGCAACCAGAGCCGAGGAGGTGCCAGCGCAGCCACTGCCTTCCAGGGGCCTGGACAGAAAGCTTGCTCTTATGCTAGACTCAGAAGCACTGAAGAATGGAGGTTGAAACTTTAGAGGACTAGAAAGGGATCATTTGTGCTGTTGCAGCTATTGCTGATAGCTAGAGCCAAAGACCATTATTTTGCTGAGGCTTGGGTGAGAAAGGGATGTGAGGAGGTTGAAAATCCTGAAGAAGAGAAAAAACATGAGGGAGGTTGAGAAAACTTTTGACACTTTCTGATCGCCGGTAACTCCTTAGGCTGCACCTGAGTGATGGTGGTTTTTTTGGAGGCTGCACAGCTGGTCAGACCATCTCTAGATGTTCTTTCCACAGTGGTTCACAGGGCGTCGTTCTCCCTTCCTGGATTATCTTGACTATGGGTAGCTATTTTCAAGAGCTCTTTGCCTTTTTAATCCTGCTCCAGATCACTTATCCAAAATCTTTCCAAATCAATTATATTTTGCTGCTTTTCTTTAATTCCCTAAAAGCCATAGCTTCTAGATTTTCTATCAGCACACAGTCTCACCAGAAGTTGAACCAATACAGGTAGAAAAAGGAAGCCCCCCATTAACATCGGGTTAATGGTAGAGCCAATGTTTTTAACTGGTGGTATTTTTTTAAACTTACCAATATAAGTATTTTTAAAGGTTCTATTTTTCAAAGTCATGACAATGATTGTTCTTGTTTTCTCTCATAGAATAGACTGCCATGGGATAAAGAGTGGTCCCTAGCTTCTATTTTTCCAAGTAAATAAGTAGAACATGTTCTTGGGATTATACCATTAAATGTTAATTTTCTTGAAGAAGAAAGATTGTTGTCTGCCAGGATTTTATGTTAGCACTCGGATTGAGGCAGAAAACGGAAGCACCAAGTTTAACACTGGGATGGCGCGGGTTGTGTTCCTGGAGGTTTGAAGTGGGCCTTCCTGCCTTTTGAGGGGAAAACTGACTGTTTTGAACATATCCTGGATTAGTTGGGTTGTTTTGTATTGAGGATCCCTAGAAGACAAGAGAGTCTTGGAAAGGGCTGCTGGCTTCGTCGTGAACGTTCGTCCCATCACCAGTGTGAGTCCGCGAGGAAGTTTTCCTCAAGTGGGGTTCAGTCTCTAATTTTCCTGTCTGTTATTAGTTTGTTCTGAGTTATTTTGGATTTTGTTCTTTAGCCAAATAAAGGCAATGTGGTTTTACCTCATGTTCCGTGTCCTGTGGTTTTTTTTGTTGTTGTTGTTTTTAGAGACGGAGTTTCGCTCTCATTGCCCAGGCTGGAATGCAGTGGTGCAATCTCGGCTCACTGCAACCTTTGCCTCCCGGGTTCAAGTGATTCTCCTGCCTCAGCCTCCCGAGTAGCTGGGATTACAGACATGCGCCACCACGCCCAGCTAATTTTGTGTTTTTAGTAGAGACGGGGTTTCTCCATGTTGATTAGGCTGGTCTCGAATTCCTGACCTCAGGTGATCCACCCGCCTCGGCCTCCCAAAGTGCTGGGAATACAGGTGTGAGCCACCGCGCCTGGCCATATGCTGTGTTTTGACCTGTGTGGTGCATTTTATGGATTTGGGACTTTTACTTGGACTCTCGGTGCCTTTGCTTCCACACACTGATTCTCTCCTCAGAAATCAAGCTCCATGACCACAGCATCAGGAAATTCCTTTTGTAGCTTGTCACCGAAGACTCAAAAGCCATTGTCCCACAAAGCGAGGCTGACCCAGACCCCAGGGCCCCGTGGGGTTGGTGCTCTAGTAGCACATCTGTCAGGGAAAGGTCACCTTCCGTCTTCTCCAGAGGCTCCTGGCTTCTTCAAGACTTTGGGCTGGTACTATTTGCCTCACCAAGTTCTCCTTTTCTTATACCAGACACAATACTATATACTCTTCTTTTCATCTGCTTTAGGAAAGCTCAGTAAACTTTCTTTTATTTTTTTTCCAGAGACAGGGTCTGGCTGTATCACCCAGGCTGGAGTGTACGGCACAACCTTTGCTCACTTCAGCCTCAACCTCCTGGGCTCAAGTGATCCCCCGCCTCAGGCTCCCAAAGTGCTGGGATAGCAGGCGTGAGCTGCCACACCCAGCCAGCAATATACAACCCTGAAGGGCTAATAGTGACATGGACAGAGGCAGTGGGCCCAGTTACACATTTTCAGACGTCATCTTGTTTATTACAAAACTTAAAACACCTTCCCCAGGCAAGATACAATTTTATCCTATACATTGTTCACCTTCATCTGTAGAGTCAAATGTCATCTGCCAGCTTGTGTTGACAAGCGGAATGCTTTCCGTTTGGTCAAGGTTGAGGGACGGTACAGAAATCTTACATTCTAATGAGTACAGCATCCTTTCACCATCCAAGCCATCCACCTTAGGCTTGGAGGTTCAAGTCCGGGTCTAGAGAAGAGAAAGTTTCGTACCCAACCTTGTGGTCTTTCCTTCGGTAGTACATTCGTGTCAGCACGGTCATGAGGAAGGTCTCCAGGATGAGGAGGTGGCAGTTCATCACTGCAGTGTGGGGGGAAATACAGGGTAGGTTATGCTGAGTCACAGAGGTGGTATTTTACTAGCAGCCCTGGCAGAGGAGTGGAGCAACACTGTCTCCAGTTGATCCCCAAACTAGGACTTAGGGATACAAAATTGTCATAAATAACATCGGGTTAATGGTAGAGCCAGAACCAGAACTTGGCTGTCTGCTTCTGTGCTGTGAGGCTAGCATTAAAGTCCATTTCTTCTGTGTGTTCCATCAACATGGGCTTCTGTTTTTTAACCACACCCATTCCTCCCCCGGGAGCTGAGGACTGAACCCATGGCTTCCTGGGTTGGCCCTCAGGGCTGGCCTCAAGCTGGGGGGTTTCCCTTCTCTTCTGTGTGATCAGAGAGGTCATCCTTTCCTCAAAGCCATTGTTGGCATTTCCCGGAGATCCCCTCTGAACGCTGAGCAGAAGTCAGGCCGGCCTAATGTCTGTTCTGAGGCCCTTTCTTTCCTGACTCTCCCCGTCTCATCCATCCCACGATGGGATAGGAGCCTTCACGTGCTCACCTTGAGACCTGGTTTTAGAGGAAAAGGGAGGCGAACACGCAATCTGCCCGCCGTTGGCCAAGACTGAGAAGATGGCGGGCTGTAGGGCAGTCAGGATGAGGAGAACCTGCGGAACATAAAAGAGAGGCAAGGGTGGGCTAGGCCTGCTCTCACGGCACAGAGCGCAGCCAGCCCACTGCTGGGCCTTGCCCTTCCACGGGCAGGTTCCACCCACCACCAGATCTGTGCAGTCACAGAGGCTTGAGGCTGTCACTTCATTAAAAATCTGTGGGATTTTCATCTTCAGGCAAATGACGTTCTCATTTTCTACCCAATATTTTATTAGAGTTTCTGACAAGATACAAGAACTCATTTTTAATTCCCTTTCTCAGCCTTGGCTACCAGTGAGCACTTACTGGATAAAAAGATGGGTGATTAGAGAAGTCATTCCATCTAGCTCACGTGCCTGAGGCCCCTGTTCTAGAATAATGGACAATTCACCATGGAAATGCCCTTTGAAAACTCTGCCATGCCAGGGACTGCAGGGAGAGGGCACTGGGGAATGTGTTTAATGGGTGCCGGGTTTCATCTGGGGAAATTTCAGTTCTGGAGATGGATGGTGGTAATGGTAGTGCAACGATGTGAATGTACTTAATGCCACAGACCTTACACTTCAAAATCATTAACAGGGCAAATCTTACCAAGATTTCACCACAATAAAGAAAGAAGGCGAAAGCTGAGAAGAAGAAGAGGAGGATCACTGTCCAGCGGCCCTGGAAGCACCGTCTGTCTTAGTACTGCCCTCCCTGAGTACACTGTGTGCAAGACTCAGCTGCTTCGAGGCTGGCGTGGCTCGCCCAGGCTGCCCCACATTAACCATGGGCAGGCTCGGCCATCACAGGGCTTTTATCTTTCGGCCTGCTCTCAAGTACATCTGGGACCCAGAACCTTTCTGCCCCTTCAATCCCTGACTCGTTCCGGGGACTTCTCTCTCTGTTCCCATAGCCTCTTCCATTCTACCTACTTTGTGCCTGGAAGTTCACATTTCGGAGGCATCTGCATAGATCAAATGAGAATGTATGTGAATTCACTCTGTTAACTGTAGGGCAGTCATTATGCCTTGGGAGTAGAAGACCAGCAAGGAGACAGGATGGAGAGAGGAGGAGACCAAGACTGGGCTAGAAGTCATTGCATTTGGTGGAAAAGTCATCTTTGGGGTTAGAGAATGCAGCGCGTAGAAGGCGGGCAAACATGCCTTTGAGAGAATTTTCAGAAGCGGTGTGAAGATGAAGGTCAGGGTAAGGAGAAGACAGGTGTGTGCAGGAGTCAGACACACCTGGGTGTAAATTCTAGCCCCATCCCGTATGTGCCTTTGAGCAAGAACATCTCGAGGTCTGTTTCTTCCTTTGTGAAATGGGAATAATAATGACTCCTAGGGTTGTGAAAATTTAAGTGTAATGTGTGAAAGTGCCTCGCAGGTGGTGTGGGTAGTTCCTGTAGCTATGCTAGTGCTGCTGCTGGTGTTGATGGATTATAGGATTTTAGGAAGTCATAGGTAGAAAAGGAAAGGAAGAAGCAAGGGTAGACAAATTTAAGGTTTGTTAACATACGTGTTATAGGTGAAATTGTGTCCCCCAAAAAGCTATGTTGAAGTCTTGCCCCCAAGTACTTGTGACCTTGTTTAAGAACAGTTTGTAGCCGGGCGCGGTGGCTCAAGCCTGTAATCCCAGCACTTTGGGAGGCCGAGGCGGGCGGATCACAAGGTCAGGAGATCGAGACCACAGTGAAACCCCGTCTCTACTAAAAATACAAAAATTAGCCGGCGCGTGGGCGCCTTAGTCCCAGCTACTCAGGAGCTGAGCGGAGAATGGCGTGAACCCAGAGGCGAGCTTGCAGTGAGCCGAGATCGCCCACTGCATCCAGCCTGGCAACAGCGTGAGACTCCGTCTCAAAAAAAAAAAAAAAAAAAAAAAAAAAGAACAGTTTGTTTCACATGTAATTGGTTGAGATGAGGTCGTAGTGGAATAGGGTAGGCCCTTAATCCAATTTGACTTGTGTCCTAAAAATAGACGAGACAGGCGGGTGCAGTGGCTCACGCCTGTAATCCCAACACTTTGGGAGGCCAAGGCGGGTGGATCACCTGGGGTCAGGAGTGTGAGACCAGCCTGGCCAACATAAGAAACCCTGTCTCTACTAAAAATACAAAATTCGCTGGGTGTGGTGGTGCGCGCCTGTAATCCCAGCTCCTCGGGACGCTGAGGCAGCAGAATTGCCCAACCCAAGATCGCACTCCTGCACTCCAGCCTGGGCAACAGAGCAAGATTCCGGATTCCGTTTCCAAAAAAAAAGAAGACACACAGAAACACATGGGGAGAATGTCATCAGACAATGGAGGCAAAAACTGGAGCGACACAAATGCTGGTCAAGGGTCGCCCAGGACTCTGCTGGAAACCACCGGAAACAAGAGAGGCTGGAGACCCCCGCAGGGCTCAAAGGGAGCCCCAGGACTCCGCTGGGAACCACCGGAAACAAGAGAGGCTGGAGACCCCCGCAGGGCTCAAAGGGAGCCCCAGGACTCCGCTGGGAACCACCGGAAACAAGAGAGGCTGGAGACCCCCGCAGGGCTCAAAGGGAGCCCCAGGACTCCGCTGGGAACCACCGGAAACAAGAGAGGCTGGAGACCCCCGCAGGGCTCAAAGGGAGCCCCAGGACTCCGCTGGGAACCACCGGAAACAAGAGAGGCTGGAGACCCCCGCAGGGCTCAAAGGGAGCACGGCCCTGCGGGCTCCTTGACTGTGGGCTTCTAGCCTGCAGCACATGAGACAAGACGTGCCTGTTGTTTCAAGCCATCTGGTTTGTGGTATTTTGTCATGGCAGCCCTGGGAAACAATTCCAGCACAGAAAGACAAAAAGCAGGAAGCACAGGAAGCATTTTCCAAACCTCTTGGGAGATCTGAGACTTATGAAAAAAATGTCTGGGCCCACTTTTAGCCTTTGTTGGTCTCACCTCCTAACCCCAACCATTTGTAGGTCTGTTATGAAACATCTTTTCTCCCCCAGGGCGTAGTTACCTGGAACAGAGCAAATTTGGCTCCCATGCTCTGCTCACCCAGGTGTAGCCTGGCTTGCCGGGAAAGGATGCCCAGGGTCCAGAGAGCCAGCAGTGTGGACACGCCGAGGAAAGTGTTGATCCACAGAGCTGTGCTTGTCTCAGAAATCTGGTGGCAACAGAAAGTAGTCAGGCAGGCAAGATTTCTCTCCCTCTCTCTTTCTTTTTAAGAGATGGTGTCACTCTGTCACCGAGCTGATTGCAGTGGCGCAATCATAGCTCACTGCAGCGTCACATTCCTGGCTCCAGTGGTCCACTAGCCTCAGGCTCCTGAGTAGCTGGGACTACAGGTGCACACCACCATTCCCAGCTAATTTGTTTTGTTTTTTTAAAATAATAGAGATGGGCCAGGCGTGGTGGCTCACGCCTATAATCCCAGCACTTTGGGAGGCAGAGGCGGGCGGATCACCTGAGCTTAGGAGATCGAGGTCATCCTGACTAACACGGCGAAACCTCGTCTCTACTAAAAATACAAAATGAGCTGGGCATGGTGGCATATGCCTGTAATCCTAGCTACTCGGAAGGCTGAGGCAGAATTGCTTGAACCTGGGAGGTGGAGGTTGCAGTGAGCTGGGATTGTGCTATTGCACTCCAGCCTGGGCAACAGAAGAGAAACTCTGTCTCAAAAAAAAAAAAAAAGAGAGAGAGAGATGGGATCTCACTATGTTGCCCAAGCTGGTCTCAAACTCCTTGCTTCAAGTGATCCTCCCGCCTCAGCCTCCCAAAGTGCTGGGATTACAGGTGTGAACCACCGCGCCCAGTCTAATTTTAGAAAAAGGGGCTCGCTATATTGCCCAGGCTGGTCTTGAACTCCCACTCTTGAGCAGTCCTCCCACCTCGGCCTCGTGAGCCATTGGGATTACAGGCATGTGTCACGGCACCCGGTGCTTCCTTCGATCTCTCCTCTCCCATGGCAGGAAAGGTAATGAGCAAAGCCCCAGAGCCTGGGCCTACTGCAGTTCTTTGCTCTCCCTGGCAGAGTCCCTGAGCCTCTGTGTTCCCACAGCCACCCTTTTCTGGGGCCCTCTGTCAAGGGGTGTTGGCTCTGGCTGTTCCTTTTAGAACACAAAGGTGCTAAGTGAGTCTTGGGCTGTGCTGGCCCTTCCTCCCGGCTTACGTCTGCCGGGTCATAGATGCCGTCGGGGATGAGAAACAGGCCCACCAGGCTCAGCGTTATCTTCAGGAAGGCATATTGGAAAGGACCCAGCATCAGCAGCTGAAGCTTCTTCCTGCGTGGGGAAGAGGGTGAGGAACACAGGCCACAAACCAGCTGTCCCAGGAAGACCCCCCGCTCCTCACTGGGCTCCTGCGCCGGGGCTTGGCTGCCACCATAAACACCAGCCAGGTTAAGTGGGTGGGGACGGAGGAAAAAACCAGAATGTTGAGAGTGCTGGGAACCCTCTTAGTCTCCCGCTCACCTCCAGACCAGAATGCTGTCTTTGGAGCGAGGTCTGGGAGTGTGACCTCAACCTCATTCACCAAAGTGGGCAGAAGGGGCAAGCAAGCAAATGGCCCCAAGTCCAGTTTTCTCTGTGTGGCTAAGGCTTGCAGGGTGCAGTGAAGTTCAGTGATGAGAATTTAGGACCTCTCTTTCCTCTGCTCCCCTGTCCCCTGAGGTTGGTGCCCCTGAGTCCTGGCTGTGGGATGCCCACCTTTCCGTCACTGGCTTTGGCCCATTCGCGCCGAATTCCCAGAGCCTTGAAGAGGGCTAGGGGGTCAGAAGAAGCTCCCCAGCTCCTGGAGGAGGCACCTTGGCCCTGCCTCACCTGGTGAGCAGCAGCCGCGGACAGCAGGGGCAGCAGCAGCAGCAGGGGCCTGTGTGGACCATCATCGGGGTGTCCCTCAGCGTCCTCAGCACTGCCTCCTTCCCCCCAAAGCCTTCCACCATGACCAGCATCAGCAGGTAAAAGCACACGGCATAAAACCTGGGGTGGGGAGAGAAGGGGGCCTATGAGGTGGGGGCACGCTGCAGGGACACCCCTTTGCTGCCAGAGGGAAAGACGGCAGGGACAGGCGGGGCTCACCGAGGGGAAGAGGTAGGGCTGGGCATTCTGGGTGTGTTCCCCAAGAGGAGCAAGGGAGAGGAGACGGGACAGGACTGGGAGAAGCGGAATTTCAGACTGTGGGAGCAAAGGGCTGGCTGAGGAATGTGCCAGATGTGAAAGCGAGGCATTCCCTGAGCAGAACCAGGAGTGTAAGATCCCCGAACTAGCACAGTTTGGGAAGGGCCAGACTCAAGGTCAGCTGGGATCAAGGACACGGACTCCAGAGTCCTGGTGAGCGGGAGCAGAGGGGCCCTCGGAGGGGGAGTGAGGCAGGACACTCACGAGGCGATGGCCATTTCCACCAGAAACAGGGAACGAGGGATCCAGAGACCAAAGCAGCAGAATACAGCCACCACCTGTTGAGAAGGGGCAGGAGCAGGTGAGGGTGGGAGGGAGCCCGCTGAGGCTCCTGAAACCTTTTGTGGCACCGGCACAGAAGGCAAAACCTGTACATTTAGGCAGCGTTCCTTAAACGTTGCCAGCCGGAAGAAGGACTAATTAAATCAAGCAAACCAAGGACCTGTGTAATGGCTGTGGGAGGGCGTTTCAAACGCCTCGACATAAGGATGGAGCTGAGTGTGACCCTGTGGAATGAGACTTCCCCACACAGGAACCACGGCCTGCCTCTACAGGAAGGAAGCGCTTTTAATAGCAATACTGTGGCAGGGAGCAGTGAGTGAGGCCGCTGGTGGGCTGAGCAGGTCTCCAGCTGTCTCCGCAGCCCTTAGAATTAAAACACTGCATCCCACAGCCTTGCAAGCGGAGGATCCTTACTGCAAGGGGAGGTCGGATTGCAAACCTCGGCCCTCAGCGGGTAGTGGCAGGGAAGTCTTCGCTGAAGTGAGTTGCTGAGTTTAGAGGAATTCTCACGTTGGTCTCTGCCTTCGTCTCAGTTCCCCCCGAAGGGCAGCCCCAGGGCCTCACCGTGGGTGCTGAGCTATTCCAGAGCAGAGACCGCCTCTTGATGGGGCAGCGGGTGTTCTTGTACAGGTAGACGGCATCCTCCAGGAAGATGGCAATGGAGCCCAGCACCAGCAAGGTCATGATGCTGGTGAGGGCAAGTTCCACAGGGCCCAGGGCTAGAGGAGGAGAAGGCAGAGAGCTGACGACCGGGACGGAGCGGGAGAAGGTGTGGGCTTGTTCCCTCAGATCCAAGTGGCCTTACTGGATCTAGGCTCTCACCCGTGCACAGGAATGATGATTTTTTAGACTTTTTTTTTTTAGACGGAGACTTGCTGTGTCACCCAGGCTGGAGTGCAGTGGTGCAAAATTGGCTCGCCGCAACCTCCGCCTCCCGGGTTTAAGCAATTCTCCTGCCTCAGCCTGCCAAGTAGCTGGGGTTACAGATGCCCACCACTACACCCGGCTAATTTTTGTATTTTTAGTAGAGATGGTTTTCTCCATGTTGGCCAGGATGGTCCCGAACTCCTGACCTCAAGTGATCCACTCGCCTTGGCCCCACAAAGTGCTGGGATTACAGGCCTGAGCCCCCGTGCCTGACCCCAATTCACTTTTCTATCTCCAGTGCCAGGTGTTACACTAGCAAATGTAGATCAATTAACATAATTGAAGCAGAATGTGATTATGGGACATTCTGGAGCTGTTTAAGTTGATTTCACCATCATTATATGGTGAAGCCAAGACATCAGGAGGCTACTTTCTTGTGGGGAGGACAGGGCCTCACTCTGCCACCCAGATTGGAGGGCAGTGGTGCGATCGTAGCTCACTGCAACCTTGACCTTCTGGGTTCAAACCATCCTCCAACCTCAGCCTCCCAAGTAGCCTGGGACTACAGGCGTGCACCACCACCACGGCCGGCTAATTTGTATGATTTTCTGTAGAGACGGGGTCTCACTACGTTGCCCAGACTGGTCTCAAACTCCTGGGCTTAAGCAGTCCTCCCACCTTGGCCTCCCAAAGTGCTGGGATTACAGGTGTGACCCACCACACTAGACCAGGGGGAACTTCAACAAAAGAGAAATGGATACAAATAAAAACCCCAAGGACACCTGACCCAAGCCGGCCTCATGCTTGGTCTTACATGAAATATAGTCCATTGGTTCTCAAACTTTCATGGATATTGCAATCATTTTGGGAGTTGTTAAAAAGCAGCTAGCTGGCCGGGCGCAGTGGCTCACACCTGTAATCCCAGCACTCAGGGAGGCCGGGCGCGGTGGCTCACACCTGTGGTCCCAGCACTTCGGGAAGCTGAGGTGGGCAGATCACTTGAGGCCGGGAGTCCAAGACAAGCCTGGCCAACACAGCAAAACCCCACCTCTACTAAAAACACAGAAATTAGCTGGGTGTGGTGCTGCCAGCCTGTGGTCCCAGCTACTCGGGGAGAGGTGGAGGCTGCAGTGAGCCAAGGTCACACCACTGCCCTCCAGCCCAGGTGACAGAGCAAGACCCTGTTTCAAACAAACAAACAAAAAATAACAAGAAGAGGAAAATGTCTATAATACTGAAAAAAGTTAGCAATGTTTATGTTTGGGTGATGGGACTCCGGATGATTTGTGTCTTCTTTTCTATCTTCTTACTTTTTTCTATCTTTTCTGAGTATTCTTTTTTTTTTTTAAACAACTTAAGTTTATTTTCTCACTGTTTTGGAGGCGAGAAGTTCAAGATCAAGGCGTCAGCAGGTTTGATTTCTCCTGAGGCCTCTCTGCTCCACTTGCAGACAACTCCCCTCCCCTCCCCCCTCCCCTCCTCTCCCCTCCCCCTCCCCTCCTCTCCCCTCCCCCTCCCCTCCTCTCCCCTCCCCCCTCCCCTCCTCCCCCCTCCCCCCTCCCCTCCTCCCTCCCCTCCCCTCTCCTCCCCCTCCCTTCCTCCCTCCCCTCCCTCCTCCCTTCCTCCCTCCCCTCCCCCCCTCCTCCCTTCCTCCCTCTCCTCCCCTTCTTTTCTTTCTTTCAACGAAGTTTCACTCTTGTCACCCAGGCTGGAGTGCAGTGGCCTGATCTCAGCTTACTGCACCCTCCACCTCCCAGGTTTAAGTGATTCTCCTGCCTCAGCCTTGCAAGTAGCTGGGACTACAGGCACCTGCCCAGCTAGTGGAGACAGTTTTCGCCACGTTGGCCAGGCTGGTCTTGATCTCCTGACCTCAACTGGTCTGCCCGCCTCGGCCTCCCAAAGTGCTGCGATCACAGGCGTGAGCCTCCGCGCCCGGCCTAAACATTAACTAATAAACCATCACAGAGAAAGCCCATTGCTAACTGGGATCACAGGCGTGAGCCTCCACGCCCGGCCGACACCCATGTTTCTACTGTGTCCTCACACGGCCTTTTCTCCGTGTGTGAAAATCCCTAGTGTCTTTCTTTTCCAATTATTCTATAATGAATATGTATCTTATAACAAAAATAAACCTTTTTCTGGAAAACATATTTTTCCAAATATACAATGATGTGAAAAATTTATTTCGTGTCATATTTACAAAAACAGAACATAAAATTATAGGAATAATATGATTTCTACAAACGTTAAATAAAAGCATAGAGAAAGGGCCAGGATTACAGGGCTCATGCCCTGTAATCTCAGCACTTTGGGAGGCCGAGGCGGGTGGATCACCTGAGGTCAGGAGTTCAAGACCAGCCTGGCCAACATGGTGGAACCCTGTCTCTACTAAAAATACAAAATTAGCCAGGCGTGGTGGCGGGTGCCTGTAATCCCAGCTACTCTGAGAGGCTGAGGCAGAAGAATTGCTTGAATTGGGAGGTGGAAGTTGCAGTGAGCTGAGATCACACCACTGCACTTCAGCCTGGGCAACAGAGCCAGACTGTCTCAAAAAAAAAAAAAAAAAGGAAATTACACTAAGATATTTGCCGTGCCTGTCTCTGGGTGAGACTGTAGATGCTTTTTTCTCTTTTTACTGTTCTGTATTTTCTTTTTTTGTTAAACTAAACCTGAATGATTTTTATAATAGAAATGTTTAATTTAAAAAAATTCAGACAATAGGCAAAGTCCAGACAGGAAAAAGCCAAAATTAATGCAGGTGGTTTTCCAAAACCAACGTTCCATGGTTGGGAAAGCAGGGCCATTGCTAGAGCCTCTCTTACCCCAGCCCCGTGTGCTCATCAGCCCTTGGAGAGTGTAAAAACTGCCCTTCACACACCCACCAACTCAGTCTTTCCCAGTCCTCATTTCCCTAACTGCCCCCTGCTCCGTGAAAACCTCCATTGCGGTGACGTTTCGTCCTCCTTCCGCCCACATCAGGGCTGTTTGTATTTACATAGCTGTTTACTCGCTTACTGCCGGTTCTCCACCTTGTGGTGCAAACTCCACGGAGGCAGGGACCTTGTCAAGCTTGTGCTGTTCTCAAACGCCTGGAGCAGTAACTGCTCTGTAACTATTTGTTGAATGAAAGCAATAGCCTGTGAGAATTCCTGTCATCATCCCCATTTTATAGACTTTTTCAGGAAACGAGGCTCAGAGAAGGAAGCACCTCGCCCAGGGTCACACGACCTGGAAGTGAAGGAGCGGAGATTGAAGCACAGGGAAAGCCCACACCCCTATTAACCATGACACACAGTGACTCCAGGTGTGTGTACTCGTGGATGTGGGAGAGATTTTCAAGGCAACCTGGGGGGGGCTGTTCCATTTATGAAGGTGAGGGTGGGGCAGATTCTGACTGTTCAACACAAAAGGTTTTGCAGTGTCTTCTAACTGTCGCCTTTGGTACTCTAATTAGGAAAGGAAAAGTTCCTTAGCATCCATAGTCCGATACTGGGCCTGCCAATCAAACCATCTTCTTAGGAGATGGCAGGAGATAGCAGGAGATAACCTCTTCTTTTCTGGTTGAACTCAATTTCCCCCAAAGTGCATCTAAATGGATACTATGGGACAAAAGTATTCCACGGCTGAAGAATTTTTGGAAATGCATTAAAGTTAAATATGATGATTCCCGCAGAGCATAATGAAATTTTTAATCTGCTAATTTACATTGTAAATTTCCAAAAGGAGGGTCTAGAATGCACCTTTTACAAAACTTAACTTTTTTTTTTTGAGATGGAGTCTCACTCTGTCGCCAGGCTGGGGTGCAGTGGTGTGATCTCAGCTCACTGCCACCTCCGCCTCGTGGATTCAAGCAATTCTCCTGCCTCCGCCTCCCAAGTAGCTGGGATTACAGGTAACCACCACCATGCCCAGCTAATTTTTGTATTTTAAGTAGAGATAGGGGTTCACCATGTTGGGCAGGCTGGTCTCGAACTCCTGACCTCACGTGATCCACCCGCCCTGGCCTCCCACAGTGCTGGGATTACAGGCGTGAGCCACCGCGCCTGGTCACAAAACTTAGCTTCCTACAGAACTCTGTTTCCATGAAGGACTCCGTGGGGTTAAGTTTCTGAGACTTTGGGAAATGCTTGTCTGGCTGACCATTTTGACTATAATCATACTTACAGCAACTATTAAATTTCCCACTGTCTCTAGAATAACAAAGATTACTTTTTAAAAGAATGAAAACAGGAACATTAAATAAAAATTTGAAAAAAGAATAATCACCTGTAATCCCCGCTTTCTAACCAAAAATTACTTCCATGATTGTGTATCTGCTTCCAGGAGGTTAGAAGCACAGTATGGGGTGTTGGAGTCAGACACTTGAGTTCAAAGTAAAATGCCACTTACCAATAGCTCTATGACCATAGACAGTTACTTATCCTCTCCTTAAGCTTCTTAGCAAAGCACCTGGCGTGTAGTATTTGTTCAATAAAAAGTAGCTTTAAGGCTGGGCACAGTGGTTCACACCTGTAATCCCAGCACTTTAGGAGGCTGAGGCAGGAGGATTGCTTGAGCTGGGGAGTTTGAGATCAGCCTGGGCAACAAAGTGAGACTGTGTCTCTACAAAAATTAATAGTTAGCCCAGGCATGGTGGTGTGTGCCTACAGTCCCAGCTACTCGAGAGGATGAGGTGGGAAGATCACTTGAGCCCAGAGATTGAGCTGCAGTGAGCCGTGATTAAAAAAAAAAAAATTGGCCGGGCGCGGTGGCTCAAGCCTGTAATCCCAGCACTTTGGGAGGCCAAGACAGGCGGATCACGAGGTCAGGGGATCGAGACCATCCTGGCTAACACAGTGAAACCCCGTCTCTACTAAAAAATACAAAAAACTGGCCGGGCGTGGTGGTGGGCACCTGTAGTCCCAGCTGCTTGGGAGGCTGAGGCAGGAGAATGGCGTAAACCCAGGAGGCGGAGCTTGCAGTGAGCTGAGATCTGGCCACTGCACTCCAGCCTGGGCGACAGAGCGAGACTCCATCTCAAAAAAAAAAAAAAAAAAAAAAAAAAATTGATTCAATGGTTCTTCCAGAATAATAGCTTTCTCTCTCTCTCTCTTTATTTTTATTTTTTAAATTGAGACAGGGTTTCGGTCTGTTGCGAAGGCTGAGGCTGGTGGTACAATCATAGCTCACTGCAACCTCGACCTCCCGGGGTTGCAGCATGGCCCACCATGACTGGCCTGAAATAGTTTTCTTAGCATTTAATTTTAAGTTCGAGACCAGCCTGGGTAACACGGGGAAACTCCATCTCTACAAAAAAACCACAAAAATTAGCCGGGCTTGGTGGCAAGTGCCTGTGGTCCCAGCTACTTGGGAGGCTGAGGTGGGAGGATTACCTGAGCCCAGCAGGTGGAGGGTTGGGGTGAGCCAAGCTCGCACCACTGCCCTCCAGTCTGGGTGACAGAGCAAGACCCTGTCTCAAAAAAAAAAAAAAAAAGGAACAACAGAGTTTACGAATGAAGTGAGGAGGTTTTGCCACATCCTCCCAGAGGCACGTCTTCCTTTTCTGTCTGTGCCATCGCCATTGCCCAGAACTAGCACTTACACACCTAGGTCTTTACCAGATTTCCTGCTCTTTCTTTGAATTGCCTGTTTGCCACACTTCCTCTTCTTTCCCTGCCGCTGCCCTGCCTCAGACTGTTTTCCCGCATGCCAGGCCAGGGCAACAACCTCTCATTTGCATCCCTGCCTATTTCCTGCTGTTGCTGAGATGGAGTCTTGTTCTGTCGCCCAGGCTGGAGTGCAGTGACATGATCTCAGCTCACTGCAACCTCTGCCTACCGGGTTCAAGCAATTCTCCTGCCTCAGCCTCCCGAGTAGCTGGGACTACAGGCACCCGCCACCTCGCTTGGCTAATTTTTGTATTTTCAGTAGAGATGAGGTTTCACCATCTTGGCCAGGCTGATCTTGAACTCAACCTCAAATGATCCACCCGCGTCAGTCTCCCAAAGTGCTGGGATTACAGGCACGAGCCACCGCGCCCGGCCATGTCCCTGCTTCTTAAGGCTCTTCCTCTGCTGTCCATCCTGATTACTAATTAATGGCTGTGAAGCACTGCTTTCATCCAGCCACTCCCAGTCTCAGAGCCCTCAGCAGCTCCTTCTCTCTGTGGGATAAAGTACAGCTCCTCTGCCAGCCCAGCAGGCATCAGGCCTCACCTCACCTGCCGAGCCCTCTCAATTGTCCCCGGTTCTTCCACCAGGATCCTTGAATCCTGCCAGGCCTCACTCCCCTGGGCCTGGGGCACCCCTGACTCATCCTCTCAGCTTCCCTGTCCCAGAGAGAGGGCTGCTGGCCAAATCCTCCCCACTCTGCCTGCAGCAAGGCTTGCTGGACTAGCAGACTCAGCATGGCCTGTTCTGAGCAGCCTTGGGGTTCCTATTTGCACATTTTGAAGGAAAGCAGTGTGAGAACCTTTTCATTGTGTGAGACAAGGTTTCTCAACCTGAGCGCTGTTGACACTTTGGCCCGAATAATCTTTTTTGTGGGGGCTCTTCCTGTGTACTGTAGGAGTTTAGCAGCTTTCCTGGCCTCTGACCATGAGGTGCCAGTAGCACCTTCCAGTGTGGCACGGGAACAGTCTCCGGACACTGCCACGTGTTCCCTGCGGGGAGAGCTGCTGTGTAAGGGAAGGCTTGTGCTGCCAGCTGCACTATCTGAACAGGAGGTTCCTGGAACTGGATGTAGCAGCCACCTGCTGCGCAAACCACAGAGTGGCCACCAGGCATCTCCGGACACTCTGGCAGTTGGCAGCCGCTCTGGTTCAGATAATCTGAAATGAAGCCATACACAGCCCAAGGACACGCCCACATCTGCGTCGGAATGCAAACTGAGAGCTTCCTGTTGCCTGGGAAATGCATTAAATGTGCTACAGAGACATAGACCTCTAGCCAACATTTCACAGGTAGTCAATATGCAGCAGGAAAACAAAATAAAGTGCAGGCGTGAGCCACATTTTCTCTAAGCATGCTCGGGCCATGATTCTCAATGTTTTTGGTGTCCAGGGAATAAGCGGAGCCCCATCCTATGCCTTTCACTTTCTTTTTCTTTTCTTTTTTCTTTTTTCTTTTTTTTTCTTTTTGGGACGTAGTCTCACTCACTGTCACCCAGGCTGGAGTGCAATGGCATGATGTCGGCTCACTGCAACCTCCACCTCCCGAGTTCAAGTGACTCTCCTGCCTCAGCCTCCTGAGTAGCTGGGACTACAGGTGCCCGCCACCACACCCAGCTAATTTCTGTATTTTTAGTAGAGACGGGGGTTTCACCATGTTGGCCAGGCTGGTCTCGAACTCCTGACCTCAGGTGATCAGCTCACCTCGGCCTCCCAAAGTGCTGGGATCACAGGTGGGAGCCCACTGCGCCTGGCAGATGCTTTTCACTATTCTTTTTTTTCCTGAGACGGAGTCTCGCTCTGTCACTCAGGCTGGAGTGCAGTGGTGCAATCTCAGCTCACTGCAACCTCCACCTCCCGGGTTCAAGAGATTCTCCTACCTCAGCCTCCCGAGTAGCTGGGATGACAGGTTCACTCTACCATGCTCGGCTAACTTTTGTATTTTTAGTAGTAGAGACAGGGTTTCACCATGTTGTCCAGGCGGGTCTCAAACTTCTGGCTTCAGGTGATCCGCCCACCTCAGCCTCCCAAAGTGCTGGGATTACAGGCGTGAGCCACCGCGCCCAGCCCAATGCCTTTCACTTTGAAAAGTAATTCAGTAACAGAATCTTGTTGGCCAACACTGAGAGGACGCTTTTGCAGGTTCACCTATTTTTTTTTTTTTTTAATTATTGTTTTATTCGAAAAAGTGCTTCTTGCAAAAGGGAAGCTGCAAAACAGAGACCTCTGCAACAATTACTTGTTTTTTCTTAAAGTGAAAGAATGGGTGGGATCCGGGGGATCAAAGCGGTAGATGGACGACCAGGAGCACCCCCAAGTTATTTTCAGGAAACTGTGTCAAAATGCAAAGGTAAAATTTCCAGTCAAGGAATTCTTCCAACAACTGAACTTGAGCTCGTCTCGGGGATCCCCACACCCTCCCCTTCAGTGGAAAAGTGTGACTTATTATTGCAAACCAATTACTCCACTACAATAAACACATCTGTCTACTTGAAAGCTCTGGGGTGGAATGAGGCAAATACCCACAAACACACACACACCCAACAACAGAATGCCCCAGGGAGGAGAAGGGTTTTCAGAAAAGTCTGGATCCTTTTCAGAAAGGAGGCTGGATCGTAAAACAAATCCAGCTGGTTCACCTCTGTGAAGCGCGTCACCCACAGTAACCACCCTCTAGAATGCCATGCGTCCAGGGCGGATGCCATGCAGGCCTCCAGGAGACCCGATGGGGCCTGGACCACTTGGGCACCACCTTGAGTCCCCAGATGGCGCTGGGGTCTGAAAAAGCGCCCCAGGTCACAGTGCCCCAGTGTGAATGAGCTTTGGGGCCAGTTTTGTGGAGGCCCAACATGAGGGTTGCTCTCCAGAACCAGGCTCTCGTGCTGCCCTTTTGACCCCTGACTCCTTGAGGCATTGCCTTTCTCCAAGGCCTTAACCACGATGACGGACAGCGGGCCAGTTATTCTTCCCAGCTGCCCAGGTGGACCAGCTCAGGGCCGCCTCTCCCCAGCTCCACCCAGCAATCCTGGTTTCCCTCCTCTCAGTTCCCTCTGGCGAGGGTCCCCACTCACCTCTCAGGAGTTGGGCTGCTGTGGGTGGATGAGAGAAGCAGGCGGAGGGGACGCCATAATTGGTCTTCAGTACCTCCAGAAGATCTGCTGTGTATCTGGCGAGACACCAGCCTGTGCTCAGAACCGTGGGGGCTGGGGGAAGGGGGAGGGGTGCATCCTGGACCCTCAACCACTCCTGAGCGCAGGACTTTGTCTGTTGCCCTCAGGGTCTCTTTCTCTCTCTCTCTTCCCTCCCTCCCTCCCTCCCTCCCTTCCTCCTTTCCTTCCTTCCTTCCTTCCTTTTTTTTTTCTCTTTGAGACAGGGTCTTGCTGTGTTGCCCAGGCTGGAGTGCAGTGGTGTCTTGGCTCATACAAGCAGCCTTGACCTCCCGGGCTCAAGTGATCTATTCAGCCCCCGTCCCCATGGAGGAAGCTGGGACTACAGGCGCACGCCACCACACCCAACTAATTTTGTATATTTTTGGTAGAGACAGGATTTCGCCATGTTGCTCAGACACTAGTCTCGAACTCCTGGACTCAAACTGGAACTGGGCTTGAACTCCTGGACTCCTGCCTCAGCCTCCCAAAGTGCTGGGATTACAGGTGCCCGGCCTCAGGGCCGTTTTCTTAGAGGGAGTGGAGAACTGGCCCAGGCAGGGGAGTAAGACAAGCTGCCACCTAGCTGGGGCGTGCCTGGCTGCAGTGCCTGAAGAGCCCACCGTGGATTCTCTCCATGCTGGTCGGGCTGCAGCCCAGGGACTGGCCACTGACCAGAGAGGAAGAGCAGGATCCCAGAGGAAGGGTGAGTCCTTGCAGAGGGACGGCCCCCTGCTACTGAGGGGCGCTGCCACTTCCTCTGGGGATGCCTTCCACAGCCCCTGCTCTGGGATCTTTCTCTCCCCACGGTGGGGGGCAAGGCCAAGGCCCTGAAGTGTCACACCCTGGCCCAAACCCACGTTGTCCCTGAGGACCTAGGAACAGCAGCCCATTTTCAGTCCTGTCTCATTCTGAGTGCGGCAGCCAAAGGGCTCTGGGAGGGAGAGAGGACAGGAGGGGGACAGGCGCCGCCGCCGCTTAGCAACCGGCCCAGGGCCCGCCGCCCTCACTTACCTGGGGTCCAGCTTTATCTGGGTCCTGCACGGCTCCATGCCGCTTTCTCTCCAGCAATCCCGCAGGCACCGCGGGTGAGACGGGCAGGCGGGGCGGCAGGTGTGGGCCCGGGCCGGGTGGGGGCCAGCGGAGTTCCAGAGTCTTCCCCTCTGCCGCTGTCCCTCCTTGAGCTTCCTGGGCCAACTTTTCTATCTCAGAGTTCACCCTGGAGGAATTTGATCCTCGAGGCTGGCGAAGTTCCCTGTGCCTGACTCATCCCTGCCCCCAGGCTGGTCCCTCCCACCTCCTGGACAGGCGCCTTTGGCCACCCCTTGCCCCTGGCCCGGCCCATCCTATAGGAGTTTGTGGCGAGTCCGCCCTGCCCTTCCAGGACCGTTCTGGGGTGGGGTGGGCTCGCCACAAACTCCTGCCCTGGGTGGGGGCGGGGACGAAGTCCTCACCGCAGTGCTCCCCGGTCAGATGCCCCCGAAGAACCTGCTGGAACTCAGGCTCCGGCACTCCGCAGTGGGGAGACTCAGGCTGAGTCCTCGGCTGTGTTTGGCGCCGTCCGCCTGATGTGCGGAAGGGAGGACAGGCTGGAAAAGCCAGATGAGGCCGGTGTGGGTTCCCGAACCCCAGTTCATCACAGCGGGACGATGGGCTCAGCCAGCCGCACGCGGGGCCGGAAGATGCAGCCGAGTGGAGGCTGTGCCTGGGAGTCAGAGTTGCAGAGTGAGATTGCTGGGCATTTTGACAGGTCTTGAAAACCTGCTGAATTATAGGCTTGCAAACAATTTTATTGGTTGATAGCTTCCCTTTTCTCTCTCTCCAAACAGATTGAAATCTCTTTGAAGGCAGACACAGCATCTTGTACTGTGGTACGCTGGTACCTCTAGGTTCCTGGCACCGAAGCTGACACATACAAAGGGTTCCTTAGAATTTGGTTGCATAGTTGATGAAAGCACAAACCCAGAGCGGCAGCAGCATCCGTCAGCATGTCTGGGGTGCCAGGGGGCTTCGCTCATTTAGACTTTACCACCGCATTACAAGGGAAGTAGTATCCTTATTCCCATTTTACAGATAAGGAGGCTGAGGTCCAGAGAGGTTAAGAAACCAGGGTGGACAGAAAGCCATGGGGTGTGGAGAGCGGCCAAAAGGGCCTGGGGGAGGGGCTGTGTTGGGGCCTGGTGGAGATGGTAGGAAGTGAGAAGAGGGCCCGGAGGAGGGTGCAGAGGGTCAGTTCTGGGAAGGGACAAGGGGCTCCCTGTGCCGGGCTGGTGAGGCCATACAAGCAGGGAAGCGGTCCCTGATGGGGTACCCGGAGGACTCCCCACTCCTGTCCCCAAACACCTCAAAGTCTCTCCCAAGAGTCAAGCTGGGTCCTCCTCCAGTTTCCCCTCCTCCCAAAGTCCAGTTCCTGGGACAGGACGATGTCGTGAGGCCGGCGTCTCAGGGGCCAGCTGCCTCTAAGGTGGAGGTCAGGGGAGGAAGAGGCCGCCAAGGGCCCTGACCCCCAGAGGGTCACTGGCCTCAGCCCCACCCTGACAAAGAGGCAGACTGACTCAGCTTCCTCCCAGCATCTCTCCAGGAACGCTCGCCAGGTCATTTACCCTGAGCCCACTGGAGGCCTTGGGTTTAATTACCCAAAGCCCTGAACTTTAGACTTCCCAGAGCTGACAACAGGGCGCTGGGGATGTTCTTAGAAACTTCAACTTCAGGACACAGTGGGGAATGGTGGGAAAGGTGGAAGGGCAGGAGGGAGCCAGAGGGACGGAGGTTGGACTGAGACTGGTGCTTCCCCGCCGGGCACCCCAGGAGAGACCGGCAGGGCGTCCGTGAGGGGAGGGGGCTTCTGCCCCACCCAAGGTCTCCAGGGGGCGTCTTCTGTACAGAGTGGCCCGGGATCCAACCAGTGGGAGGCCCTGCCTGGAGGCCGGCCCGTCCCCAGCTAAGGCTTGGTCAGAGAGGACGAGCTGTGGCGCCAGGGTCTTCTCTTGGCAGTTGAGGCCTGCCAGCTGTCAGAAACTGATGTTTTAGAACCATGAAGAATAAATCCTTCTGATTTCCCCTTCTTTGGCCTATTTTTTTCCCATGAAATTATCTGACACTTACTGAGACAGAGGAGGGACTTGGCTCCCAACCCCACTAGTGCGTTCCTCCCCCCACCCTTTTTCTTTCTTCTTTTTTTTCTTACCTGCTCATCACAGGACAGTGAAAAAATTAAGATAAGCAGCATTTCACTATAAATCTTTTGCAAAATGCCATATCCACTGATCACAGGACCTTGAAAAAATGCAGATAGGCAGCATCCCGCTTTAAATCTTATGCTTCAGGGAGTGAACCCCATTGCCTCGGTGTGCACAAAACCAGAAGAACGACCATCTTTACCCTTGGCCTCATTACAAGACCAAAATCTCTGTCCCGGCGTGGGAGCTCACACCTGTAATCCCAGCACTTTGGGAGGCCGAAGCGGACGGATCACCTGAGGTCAGGCATTTGAGACCAGCCTGGCCAACAAGGTGAAACTCCGTATATACTAAAAATACAAACATTAGCTGGGTGCGGAGGCAGGCGCCTGTAATCCCAGCTACTCGGGAGGCTGAGGCAGGAGAATCGCTTGAACCTGGGAGGCGGAGGTTGCCGTGAGCCGAGATGGTGCCACCGGACTCCAGCCTGGGTGACAGAAAAAAAACAAAAACAAAAACAAAAGCCTCTGCCAGGGAGAGGTTTGCTCGTCGTGTTCTGATCCTGCGATGTACGTGTTACCACGACTCCTTGTCCCTGTGCGTTCCGCACGCCACTCCTGCAGGAACGCTCACCTCCCTCCTGAATTACCCGTGTGGCCCTCCTCAGGCCCACGACACCACAATGCGCTCCTCTGGGGGCCAGCCGGAGAACTCTCCCTGCAGTGCTGTCTCCCCCGTGGTGGAACGAAAGCCCCTAATAAAGCCTCGTCTGGGAAATTTGCTTGGCCTCGTGCCAATTTTTATTGGAACCTAAAGAACCTGTGGTCAGTAACAGGCTCACTTCAGTTATCACTTAAGTTTTGGTTTCCTTAATGTGAGGGTCAGTTTTGAAAAATCAAAAAGAGGCTGTGGGGGCGGTGGCTCACTGTAATGCACTTGGAGGCCGGACGGTGGATCAGGTGGAGATCGAGCTCTGGAAAGTGAAACGTTCTAAAAATCCAAAAAACTAGCCGGGCGAGTGGCAGCGCCTGTAATCCATCTTTTTTTTTTTTTTTTAGACGGAGGCTGAGCAGGGAGATGGCCCGGATCAGCTCATGAGCTCGCTCCGGGCCACTGCCTCCAGCCTGGGCGGACAGGCGTGACCTCCCGGCCAAATTAATAAGACGGGGTCATGGTACCCAGGATGTCCGATCTTGACCTGATGGTGTGGTCCCAAGGCTGGGATTACAGGCTTGACCACCGCGCCCGGCCTCCATCTCTTAAAAATACAAAAATTAGGCCGAGTGCAGTGGCTCACACCTGTAATCCCAGCACTTTGGGAGGCTGAGGTGGGTGGATCACCTGAGGTCAGGAGTTCGAGACCAGGCTGGCCAATCTGGCAAAACCCCATCTCTACTAAAAATACAAAAAAATAAATAAATAAATAAATTAGCCGGGCATGGTGGCCAATGCCTGTAATCCCAGTTACTCAGGAGGCTGAGGCAAGAGAATTGCTTGAACCTGGGAGGCAGAGGTTGCAGTGAGCTAAGATGGTGCCACTGCACTCCAGCCTGGGTGACAGAGTGAGACTCAGTCTCAAGACAACAACAACAACAACCAACCACCCTCGCATCTTCCAGTTCCCCCTCCTGCCACACCCTGGCAGCTGCAAATCTGCTTTTGATCTCTATGGATTTGGCGACTCTGGATATTTCATGTAAGTGGAACAATATGTGGCTTTTGGTGCTGAGCTTCTTCCATTTCGCATAATCTTTTCTTTTCTTTTTTTGTGTTTTTGAGACGGAGTTTCGCTCTTGTTTCCTAGGCTGGAGTGCAATGGTGAGATCTCGGCTCACTGCAACCTCCACCTCCCAGGTTCAAGCGATTCTCGTGCCTCAGCCTCCCGAGTAGCTAGGATTACAGGTGCCTGCCAGCTCGCCTGGCTAATTTTTGTATTTTTAGTAGAGATGTTGCAGGAAACTGAGGACTGGCAAGGCTGATATGGAGAACAAGAGGATTGTTTATTTTAGGTACGCACTGGCTTAGTGGATTCGCATCTAAGAAGCTGAACGTTAAACAAAGACAGAGCAGGGATTTTACAAGCAGACTTACAATAAATAAAATAAAGGTGGTTAATCATATGATAGGTCACATAATCTATAGCATCACTTGTGGCCTTGCATAGCCGGTGGCTTTGTAGCTGCACTGAAAGAAAAACAAGAACTGGCTAAATACAGACATTTGTAAAACATAATCATGCTTAAGAAACCTGGGAAAGGAGTAACAGTAAAAGAATTTGTCTTTTTCTTCTTCAGCTTTGGTCTGGAGGGGAGGGCTGTCTGGAGCGTATTCTTTCAGCCTTGGCTTTCTGGACAGCGTTCTCTTATAACTGTGCTTGAAGTGAGCGTGCTAGGCAGAGGAAAACTCGTTTTCTTTTGAACTTTCGCCTTGCTTGTTACTTTTCTTGGAGTGAATGAATGCCTATTTATTTTTAAATGTCTGCCTCAGTTTCTTCTTTTTGAGGCCTTTTATAAAAGAAGTTTGATATGGCTCACGCCTGTAATCCCAGCACTTTGGGAGGCCAAGGTGGGTGGATCACCTGAGGTCAGGAGTTCGAGACCAGCCTGACCAACATGACAAAACCCCGTCTCTACCACAAAATACAAAATTAGCCAGGCGTGGTGGCGGGTGCCTGTAATCCCAGCTACTCGGGAGGCTGAGGCAGGAGAATCGCTTGAACCCAGGAGGCAGAGGTTGCAGTGAGCTGAGATCACGCCACTGCACTCCAGCCTGGGCAACAAGAGTGAAACTCTGTCTCAAAAAAAGCCAAAACAAAACAAACAAAAAAGAACCCAACAAAAAAACCTAGCAACTTTCTTTCTTTCTTTTCTTTTCTTTTTTTTTAATTTGAGATGGAGTTGACTCTGTCGCCCAAGCTGGAGTGCAATGGCATGATCTTGGCTCACTGCAACGTCCACCTTCCAGGTTCAAGTGATTCTCCTGCCTCAGCCTCCCGAGTAGCTGGGACTACAGGCGGGCGTCACCACTCCTGGCTAGTTTTCTATTTTTAGTAGAGACGGAGTTTCACCATGTTGGCCAGGCTGGTCTCGAACTCCTGACCTCAAGTGATCCACCCGCCTCGGCCTCCCAAAGTGCTGGGATTACAAGGATTACAACGCCCGGCTGAAAATGACCAACTTTCTTCCTATGTGTTTCTCCAAGGTCATATTTTCTCCAACAACATCAGCCTGTCAGGGGCAGGGCCTCTCGGTTCCCCAGCACGTGTAGGGTGGGGTTTGCTGTTGGAAATGCCTGTCGCCGGAGGCAGCCACAGAAAACTGCAGACAGTTCTGCTGAAGGCCGCCAGCCTCTGTGATGTCACACTGGAGCTTCTTTCCTTTCATCCTGGGCTGTGGCTCTGAGGCCGCTGTGGCCATGGAGCTCTGGAAGCTGGGCTGGGGGAGGAAGCCTGGTGGCTCTGACCTCCCCTGGAGGCGCAGGAGGCCCAACCATGACACTCTTAATGGATGCCACGCCCCAGGTGAAGGAGCTCTATCCCCTGCCTCTGGTCCCACGTCCCTGGGTCCTCTCCAGCCTGTTTGCTGCCTTCAATGTGGTGCTGCTGGTCTTTTTCAGTGGCCTCTTCTTCGCATTCCCGTGAGTTTCCCAGGCAAGGCGTTAGGTTTCCTACAAAGAGACAGCCAGGGAAACAGAATATGATAGGATGGAGGCAGGGGAGTGCAGAAGACGGTGGGGGAGAATCAGAGAAAGGGGGATATTCTGGTCTAGGGAACCGATGTGCTAAGGCACAGAGGTCAAGGGTGCCTGTGCATTTTGGGAGCTTTGGGTGGCTGGTCGTGCTGGTGCCATTTGGTGGAGCCATTATGAGTCTGCCTGGGTATTTGGAGCCTGGATTTTTAGATCTGGCTTTAAGGTCTGTGGGTCCTGACCTGAGTAAGCCAGGCCCTGGGTGGGGGGCTTTGGGCTGCCCCCGCTCAGGACCGAGCCTGCCTCTGGTCTCAGTTGCAGGTGGCTTTGGGCTGCCCCCGCTCGGGACCGAGCCTGCCTCTGGTCTCAGTTGCAGGTGGCTGGGCTGCCCCCGCTCGGGACCGAGCCTGCCTGTGGTCTCAGTTGCAGGTGGCTTTGGGCTGCCCCCGCTCGGGACCGAGCCTGTCTCTGGTCTCAGTTGCAGGTGGCTTTGGGCTGCCCCCGCTCGGGACCGAGCCTGCCTCTGGTCTCAGTTGCAGGTGGCTGGCTCAGAACGGCGAGTGGGTCTTTCCCGTCATCACAGGCCCCCTCTTTGCTCTCACCTTCTTCAGTCTCGTTTCACTCAACTTCTCAGACCCTGGCATCTTACATCAAGGTGAGGCATCAGCCCCCTGGGAAAAGGAGGTGGCACCCCAAGGGCTGGGAACCTGCAGGGGATTCCTAAACTGCTCTTCCTACCACCCCTCCTCCAGCCTCTGGACCCCTTCGCCCCACGTCTTCATTACTGTGGCCCTAGCTCCTTCCCTTCCCTTCCCTTCCCTCCCCTCCCCTCCCCTCCCCTCCCCTCCCTTCCCTTCCCTCCCGTCCCCTCCCCTCCCCTCCCCTTTCTTTCCTTTCTTCTTTCTTTCTGTCTTTCCTTTTCTTTTTTTTTGAGCTAGAGTCTCGCTCTGCTGCCCAGGCTGGAGTGCAGTGGCGCGATCTCAGCTCACTGCAACCTCTGCCTCTCAGGTTCAAGCGATTCTTCTGCCTCAGCCTCCAGAGTAGCTGGGATTACAGGAGCATGCTACCACGCCCAGCTAATTTTTTGTAATTTTAGTAGAGACGGGGGTTTCACCATATTGGCCAGGCTGGTCTCAAACTCCTGACCTCGTGAACAGCCCACCTCGGCCTCCCAAAGTGCTGGGATTACAGGTGTGAGCCACTGTGCCTGGCCCTACCTCACTTCTTAGGCCACCACGGTGTAGAAAAAGAGAATTGTTGCGTTTTCCCAGTTGCCTCAGATGCAAGGACTGGGCAGGCCAGGGCCAGAAGTCAGTGGGCTCTTCCAAACCACTGTTTGTACTTCCTCCCTTCACTACACAATGCCACTTAGAGCAGCACTCACTGTTCCAAACGCCTGAGTTTCATACAAAACTCTCCTGGCTGGAAACCCGTCTTCCCTTTGCCATCCTCTCTGAGCTTGGACAGCTTGCTCAGGGGCAGGGGTTCCCCTGCCCACCTCGTCCCCACCCTTCCTTGTGCCCTGTGATGCCTCGGAGTGACCGCAGGGCCTTCTGCTGTGCCCCATCCTCTTCCCAGCCAGGCTCCGCTGAGCAGGGCCCCTTGACAGTGCACGTGGTGTGGGTGAACCACGGGGCCTTCCGCCTGCAGTGGTGCCCACAGTGCTGCTTCCACCGCCCGCCCCGGACCTACCACTGCCCCTGGTGCAACATCTGTGTGGAGGTGAGAGCCCCTCTACCTGTCCACCAGCCGTCGCCCCACATCTGGCTGGGATCAGGAGCCTCCCTCATACAGGGGCTGGGGCTGGGCGTGAAGCTGTCTTTCAGGACCGCTAAAGGCCAAGGGTGACAGTACCTCCCAGCCACTCTTGGTCACTCATGTGCTTCCTACCTGCACCTGTCCTGGGAGGCTGCCCATTGCCTGCAGAGGTGCTGACATGTACAGGCATCCACATCTGTCCTGGGCTGGGTCAGGCCAGGGGAGGAGAGGCAGCCCTCTGTCCCACCCCTGGGCTTGCTAACATGAGATACCCAAGCCCCTCAGGCTGGCTGCCCGCCTGATCTGGAAGGCCTTGCCTGTCCTCACCTGGGTGTCCAAGGTGGAGGGTCTACCAGCTCTGAGTGACCGTCCCCCTCGTGAGCACGGCCTGCACAGGTTTCCAAGTGCAGGAGGCTGGCTGGGCCAGGGTGTTACTGTCATCTTCATCGAATGGATGAGAAAGTGGAGGCCCAGAGCTGGTTTCCGTTCTGCCCAAAGTTCCAGCAGGGTGCGTCTCACAGAAGGCCAGGCCAGCCTTTTCTCTAAAGGTCTTCTGACAGGAGACCTTTATACCACAGAGACCCAACTGTGCTCTAACGAGGGAAATGCCAGCACGAGGCATTCTGTGGCCCAGTTTCTCCCTGCAGGTGGAAGCCAGTGCATGGGCCAAGGGCAGGTGGCCTAGAGGGCAGGGGGAAGGCCTCGGGATTTGGGGTGATGGAAGTTGGGCCGGAGGGGAAGTCCTCAAGCCTGGCCCTCCCCCTGTCGCCCAGGACTTTGACCACCACTGCAAGTGGGTCAACAACTGCATCGGTCACCGCAACTTTCGCTTCTTCATGCTGCTCGTCCTGTCCCTGTGCCTCTACTCAGGCGCCCTGCTGGTCACCTGTCTCATCTTCCTGGTGCGCACGACCCACCTACCCTTCTCCACGGACAAGGCCGTCGCGTATCCGCCCACGTGGGGAAGGAGAGGGAGGAGGCGGGGACAGCCAAGGAGGGAGGGGCTACGGGGGCGGGGCTACGGGGGCGGGGCCAGAGGGAGAAGCCGCCTGGGAGGACCAGTCCGGGACGAGGTGAGGTGGGTGGGGCCGGGGATGGGCGGGGCTAGGAGAAGGGGCGGGGCATTAAGCCTCCCGCGGGTGGGGCGCGGCGGCTCACGCCTGTAGTTCCGGCACCTTGGGAGGCCGAGGCGGGAGGATCGCGCCAGCCCGTGTCCCAGACCAGCCTGGGCGACCCAGACCCCGTCTCTACAAACAAACAGAAAAATTAGCCGAGCGTGGTGGCACGTGCCTATAGTCCCGGCCGCTCGGAAGGCCGAGGCGGGAGGATCGCTTGAACCGGGGAGGGAGGTCGAGGCTGCAGTGAGCTGTGATTGTGCCTCAGAAGAAGAAAAGAGGCCGGGCGCGGTGGCTCAAGCCTGTAATCCCAGCACTTTGGGAGGCCGAGACGGGCGGATCACAAGGTCAGGAGATCGAGACCAGCCTGGCTAAATACGGTGAAACCCCGTCTCTACTAAAAAATACAAAAAACTAGCCGGGCGCGGTGGCGGCGCCTGTGGTCCCAGCTACTCGGGAGGCTGAGGCTCGGAGAATGGCATAGACCCGGGAGGCGGAGCTTGCAGTGAGCTGAGATGCGGCCACTGCACTCCAGCCTGGGCGACAGAGCGAGACTCCGTCTCATAAAAAAAAAAAAAAAAAAAAAAAAAAAAAGAAGAAAAGAAAAGAAGAGAAAGAAAAAGGAATCTGGCGGGGTCATGGGCGGGTGCTAAAGGCGGACCGCAGATCTGGACGGGCGGGGACAGCGGGGCGGAGTCGGGCTTTCGCGGGGTGGGCGGGACGAGGGTGGAACCGGGGGACTGGGTGGGTGCGTGGGCGTCCGGGGGCGGGGCGGGGCTCGGGGCGGAGTCGGGCTTTCGCGGGGTGGGCGGGGCGAGGGTGGAACCAGGGGACTGGGTGGGTGGGTAGGCGTCCGGGGCGGGCGGGGCTCGGGGCGGAGTCGGGCTTTCGCGGGGTGGGCGGGGCGAGGGTGGAACCAGGGGACTGGGTGGGTGGGTGGGCGTCCGGGGGCGGGGCTCGGGGGCGGAGTCGGGCCTGAGGGGCGGGGCCAGGCGTGGGGGTCCCACAGCTCCGATCCTTAACCCGGGCAGCATCGTGGTGGCTGTGCCCGCCGCGGGCTTCCTGGTGCCGCTGTCCATCCTGCTGCTGACCCAGGCCGTGTCCGTGAGCTCGGCCGACCGCACCTACAAGGTCAAGGTACGCGGGGCCGTGGGGAGTCAGCTGGCACCCCCGGGACCTCCGCGCTTCCCGCGCTTTCTCCACTGCCCTTGGCCTGGTAGCCCGACCCCCACCCCCGATGGCGCCTCGTTAGGTCCCTCTAGACCCAGCTCTTAAGAGGCTCCAATCTCGCCTCCTCCGGGAGCTCGGTGGTCATTGTCCCTCCTGGGAGCCTACTGTGTGCTAGGCGGTGTGGATTCTTTGAGCGATGGGAATAGAGGTGAGTGAGGCTACGTTCCACACTGTGTTGATGAGGAACCTGAAATGGGAGTAACAGCCACCAGAGGCCCACGAACACTCGGAGAGGGGGCCGGTCCTGAGCTGTGTGGCGCAGACTCAGGCACTGAGGGTTCGGGGAGGACCCCATGGTAGGGTAGGACGTGCAGCTTAGGGGTTCGGGAGAGACAGAAGACAGAGCGGAGGGCATTGCAGGTGAGGGGCACACCTTTGCAAAAACTCAGGGAAGCCTGAAGTCTGTGGAACGTTGGTAGGATGGAGAGGAAACAATTCTAATTGGGCAGAAGGTGGTGTGGGCAACCGAGTCAACTGCTTCCTTTGGCCCCATTAGAAAGGTCCAGGCTGGGCCCCGTGGCTCATGTCTGTAATCCCAGCGCTTTGGGAGGCTGAGGCAGGAGGATCACTTGAGCCCAGGAGTTTGAAACCAGCCTGGGCAACATAACGAAACTTCATCTCTACAAAAAATTTTAAAATTATCCAGGCGTGATGGCACATGCCTATAGTCCCAGCTACTCCAGAGGCTGAAGTGGGAGGATGGCTTGAGCCCAGGAGATGGAGGCTGCAGTCAGCGAGCTGTGATTGCACTGCTGCACTCTAGCCTGGGCAATAGAGCAAGACCCTGTCTTAAAAAAAATGCCCAGGCTGGGTGCGGTGGCTTACGCCTGTAATCCCAACACTTTGGGAGGCCGAGGTGGGCAGATGACCTGAGGTTGGGAGTTCGAGACCAGCCTGGCCAACATGGCGAAACCCTGTCTCCACTAAAAATACAAACATTAGCCAGGTGTGGTGGGGCACGCCTGTAGTCCCAGCTACTCAGGGGGCTGAGGCACAAGAATCGCTTGAACCTGGGAAGCAGAAGTTGAAGTGAGCCGAGATTGTGCTATTGCACTCCAGCCTATGTGACAGATCGAGACTGTCTCAAAAAAAAAACAAAAACAAACAAACAAAAACCCCCCAGAAAGTCAGGTGAATTTAGGCTTGATGATGAAATCATGGTACAAGAGCCAGGGTAGGATTTCTTAAAAGCCAAGTTTATTGGACGGGTGCGTGGCTCATACCTGCAATCCCAGTACTTTGGGAGGCCAAGGTGGGTGGATCACTTCAGGCCAGGCCAGGAGTTTGAGACCAGCCTGGCCAACATGGCAAAACCGTCTCTACAAAAAATGCAAAAATTAGGCGGGCGTGGTGGCTTGTGCCTGTAATCCCACCTACTTGGAGGCTGAGGCAGAGAATCTCTTGAACCCGGGAGGCAGAAGTTGCAGTGAGCTGAGATTATGCCACTGCACTCCAGCCTGGGAGACAGAACCAGACTCTGTCTCAAAACAAACAAACAAACAAATGAACAAAAACCAAACCAAAACAAAAAGTATTTTATTGAACAATAATCTACCTATGTAATACCCTTTTCTAGTGTACAGCTATGAGTTCTGACAAATGGATACAGTCCTGCAGCCACCACTATAATCAATATTTAGGACAGGTCCATCACCCCAGAAAATCAGAGACCACCACCGTAATCAATATTTAGGACAGGTCCATCGCCCCAGAAAATCAGAGACCACCACCGTAATCAATATTTAGGACAGGTCCATCGCCCCAGAAAATCAGAGACCACCACCGTAATCAATATTTAGGACAGGTCCATCGCCCCAGAAAATCAGAGACCACCACCGTAATCAATATTTAGGACAGGTCCATCGCCCCAGAAAATCAGAGACCACCACCGTAATCAATATTTAGGACAGGTCCATCGCCCCAGAAAATCAGAGACCACCACCGTAATCAATATTTAGGACAGGTCCATCGCCCCAGAAAATCAGAGACCACCACCGTAATCAATATTTAGGACAGGTCCATCGCCCCAGAAAATCAGAGATCACCACCGTAATCAATATTTAGGACAGGTCCATCGCCCCAGAAAATCAGAGATCACCACCGTAATCAATATTTAGGACAGGTCCATCGCCCCAGAAAATCAGAGATCACCACCGTAATCAATATTTAGGACAGGTCCATCACCCCAGAAAATCAGAGATCATGGTCTTTTGTAGTCGATTTCTTCCCCTACCTGCAGCTCTTGGCAACCACTGATCTGTCTTCTGTCCTTATCATTTTTCCTTTTCTAGAATAAATGGAATTGTTGGCTTGTGAGTCTGGCTTCTTTCACTCAGCACATACATTCGAGATTCATTCACGTTGTTGCTCATATCAGCCGTTTATTCCTTTTGATTGCTGTACGGTATTGCATTGTGTGGATGTTCAATAGATTATCCATTTACCAACTGAAGATGTTTGTGTTATTTCTAGTTTGGGAGATTATAATAAATAAAGCTGCTATAAACACTGGTGGACAGGCATGTGAACGTAAGTTTTCATTTCTTTGGGGTAAATACTTAAAGGGGTCATATGGTAATTGAATGTGGTTTTTTTGTTTGTTCGTTTGAGACGGAATGTCACTCTGTCACCCAGGATGGAGTGCAGTGGCTCGATCTTGGCTCACTGCAACCTCCACCTCCCAGATTCAAGTGATCCTCCCACCTCAGCCTCCCAAGTAGCTAAGACTACAGGTCCCCAGGCTCTCCAGCCTCCAGGGACCTTAACGTGGCCTGCGATTCACCAGGCGGGGCTCCTTCCTGCGGCCCGCAGCACCCACCTCAGGCCTTTTTCACATGCCCCAAATCTCATTCCCTTCTTCCTCCATCCCTGGGTTGCAACTCCGCCTGTGGTTGATAGCAAGGTCTCTGGATCCAGTTCACACATGTTCACATCACAACTCCACAGCATACCAGCAGGGAGATCCTGGGAATATTGCTTGGCCACCTAGGCATCCACTTTCCCCGTCTGTAAAATGGGCAGCATGGGTGAGTGCAAGACACAGAGTAGCGGCTGGTACAAGTGACTGCTCCAGATGTCGCTACTATTAGTACCATTCAATTTCTTTCTTTCTCTCTTTCTTTCTTTTCTTTCTTTCTTTCTTTCTTTCTTTCTTTCTTTCTTTCTTTCTTTCTTTCTTTCTTTCTTTCTTTCTTTTCTTCTTTTTTTTTTTTGACGGAGCATCTCTCTGTCACTCAGGCTGGAGTGTAGTGGCATGATCTTGGCCTCCCGAGTAGCTGGAGTTACACCATGGCCGGCCTCTCAAAGTGCTGGGATTACAGGCATGAGCCATGAGCCACCACACCTGGCTAATTTTTTGTATTTTTAGTAGAGACGGGGGTTTCACCACGTTGGCCAGGCTGGTCTTGAACTCCTGACCTCAGGTGATCTGCCCGCCTCGGCCTCCCTAAGTGCTGGGATTACAGGCGTGAGCCACTGCTCCTGGCACCATTCATTTTCATCACCATTTACACATGCTCCCGTCTCTCATCTTAAAAGCAAAGCAAAACCCTCACTTAACATCGCCAGCCTCCCCTCCCCCTGCTCCACGCTGCTCTCCCGCAGCCCAGTCTCCTGACAGAGCTGGCAGTGCTCACGTGCTCCACTCTCCCCCGTCCCAGGCCGGCTTCAGCGGGCCGCTGTCCTCACTGTCACACTGACGCTGCTCTCACCCGGCGGCCAAAGCCGGTGGTCAGGCCTCAGAAGCCTCCCTCCAGACCGCACACAGCAGCTTCTGAAACTGCACGGGAAGCGGCCTGTCCCCGGCCGCGCAGGGCTCAGCCTCTGGCCTCCTGGGTGGTGCCTGGGTTCCTGCTCCTCCCCGCGGTGCCCTCGCCACCCTGAGGGCTGAGGCTGGTCCAGTTTATGTCGTGTGCAGTTCCCAGCACAGTGCCTGGAACTTTCTTTCTTTTTTTTTTTTTTTTCTTGACGACAAGGGCAGTAGTGAGCAGCGAGGAAAGAGTAGAACAAGGAATTGGATCTGTAACTTACTGAAAAGGCGAGATAAACCACTGCTTTCAGACCAGCCCCTGGAACTTTTCTTTTTTCTTTCTTTTTTTGAGACTGACTCTCACACTGTTGTCCCGGCTGGAGTGCAATGGCACCATCTCGGCTCGCTGCAGCCTCCGCCTCCTGGGTTCAAGCAATTCTCCTGCCTCAGCCTCCCAAGCAGCTGAAACTACAGGCGTGCAGCACCACACCCTACTAAAAATTTTTGTATTTTTAGTAGAGACGGGATTTCACTATGTTGGCCAGGCTGGTCTTGAACTTGTGACCTCAGATGATCCAAAGTGCTGGGATTACAGGCATGAGCCACCACTCCCAGCCCCTGAAACATTTTTAAGGACCCCAAATGTTTCTGAAACAGTGAGCGAACCAACCACCAAAAGAATCCATAACACTTTGGGAGAGACGCAGAGACAGAGAGAGAAGCCGGAAGCCCTGATCCCTGGCGGGGAATGGGGCGAAGGGAGTTGGGTGGGAGATGGAGCAAGAAGCTGCCCACTCTGGCTTTGGTCCTGCGGAGTGTCAGGCAGTTTTAGACACAGAATCAGAGCAGGAGCCCCGGGTGTGGAGACAGTGAGGGGGGCTGAGTGCTTCAGAGCTGTTGGTTTCTTCCTTTTTATATTTTTTGAGACAGAGTCTCACTCTGTCGCCCAGGCTGGAGTGCAGTGGTGTGATCTCGGCTCACTTCAACCTCCACCTCCTAGGTTCAAGCAATTATCATGCCTCAGCCTCCCAAGTAGTTGGGATTTCAGGCACCTGCCACTATGCCCGACTAAGTTTTGCATTTTTAGTAGACGGGGTTTTGCCATGTTGGCCAGGCTGGTCTCGAACTCCTGGCCTCAAGTGATCCACCCGCCTCGGCCTCCCAAAGTGCTGGGATTACAGGTGTGAGCCACTGCGCCCAGCCAAGAGCTGTTGGTTTCATTCATATCTGAAAGCATCTTTCGTGGGAGAGGCAGGTACAAATGTATTGGTCAGTCTTAGCTGGGCACGGTGGTTCACGGTTGTAATCCCAGCACTTTGGGAGGCCGAGGCGGGTGGGTCATGAGGTCAGGAGTTCGAGACCAGCCTGGCCAACAACAGTGAAACGCCATCTCTACTAAAAATACAAAAATTAGCCGGGCGTGGTGGTGGGCGCCTGTAATCCCAGCTACAAAAAAAAAAAAAAAAAAGTATTGGTCAGTCTTACGAATTTATTTATTTATTTATTTATATTTATTTATTTATTTTTTTTTGAGACGGAGTCTTGCTCTGTAGCCCGGGCTGGAGTGCAGTGGCCGGATCTCAGCTCACTGCAAGCTCCGCCTCCCGGGTTTACGCCATTCTCCTGCCTCAGCCTCCGGAGTAGCTGGGACTACAGGCGCCCGCCACCTCGCCCGGCTAGTTTTTTTTTTGTATTTTTAGTAGAGACGGGGTTTCACGGTGTTAGCCAGGATGGTCTCGATCTCCTGACCTCGTGATCCGCCCGTCTCGGCCTCCCAAAGTGCTGGGATTACAGGCTTGAGCCACCGCGCCCGGCTTACGAATTTATTAAAGATCATCATTCCTTTAAGCATTTTTCTATGCCTCATATACAATCAACTTTTTTCTATGCCTCATATACAATCAACATTTTCTATACCTTATATACATCTAATCAAAATTTATTTCCCTAATGTAGGGTACAGTGACTCACACCTGTAATCCCAGCCCTTTGAAAGGCTGAGGTGGGAAGATCTCTTGAGGCCAGGAGTTCAAGACCAGCCTGGGCAACATAGCCAGACCCCATTCCTACAAAAAAAATTAAAAATTGGCTGGGCGTAGTCGTGCATGCCTGTAGTCTCAGCTACTTGGGAGATAGAGGTAGGAGGATCCCTTGAGCCCAGGAGTTTGAGTTTGCAAGGACCTATGATCCCTCCACTCCAGCCTGGGCAACAGAGCCAGACTGTCTCACTGAGGCAGGTGGATCACCTGAGGTCAGGAGTTTGAGAGCAACCTGGCCAACATGGTGAAACCCCGTCTCTACTAAAAATACCAAAATTAGCCGGGTGTGGTGACAGGTGTCTGTAATCCCAGCTACTTGTGAGACTGAGGAAGGAGAATCACTTGAACCTGGAAGGCGGAGCTTGCAGTGAGCCGAGATCGCACCATTGCCCTCCAGTCTGGGCAACAGGAGCAAAACTGCGTCTCAAAACAAACAAACAAAAACAAAACAAAGCAAAACAAAAAAAGGGCAGGCGCGGTGGCTCACGCCTGTAATCCCAGCACTTTGGGAGGCCGAGGCGGGCGGATCACGAGATTGGGAGATCGAGACTATCCTGACTAACATGGTGAAACCCCATCTCCACTAAAAATATAAAAATTAGCCGGGCGTGGTGATGGGCGCCTGTAATCTCAGCTACTGGGGAGGCTGAGGCAGGAGAATGGCGTGAGCCTGGGAGGCGGAGCTTGCAATGAGCCGAGATCGCACCACTGCACTCCAGCCTGGGCAACAGGGTGAGACTGTCTCAAAACAACAACAACAACAACAACAACAACAACAACAACAAAAACATATATATATATATATATACAAATTTTAAAATTCTGTCAATATATTTTTAGTTTTCCTAGAGACAGGGTCCCACTCTGTCATTCAGGCTGGAGTGCAATGGCGTAATCACAGCTCACTGCAACCTTGAACTCCTAGGCTCAAGGGGTCCTCTCATCCCAGCGCCCAGTGCACCTGTGACTAGAGGTGCACATGCCACAGCCACCTAACTGTTTTTATTTTTTTAGAGATGAAAGTCTCACTATGTTGCTCAGGTCGGTCTTGAACTCCTGAGCTCAAGATATCCTCCTTTCTCCACCTCCCAAAACGCTGGGATTACAGGTGTGAATTACCATGCCTGGCCAAAATTCCATACATTTAATTAAAGTCTTCTAAATGACTACTACAATACCAGTTTCTTTTTCTTTTCTTTTTTTTTTTTTTTTTTTTTGAGACGGAGTCTCGCTCTGTCACCCGGGCTGGAGTGCAGTGGCGCGATCTCGGCTCACTGCAAGCTCCGCCTCCCGGGCTTACGCCATTCTCCTGCCTCAGCCTCCCGAGTAGCTGGGACCACAGGCGCCCGCCACCTCGCCTGGCTAGTTTTTTGTATTTTTTAGTAGAGACGGGGTTTCACCGTGTTAGCCAGATGGTCTCGATCTCCTGACCTCGTGATCCGCCCGTCTCGGCCTCCCAAAGTGCTGGGATTACAGGCTTGAGCCACCGCGCCCGGCCTCTTTTTCTTTTTCTTTTTCTTTTTTTTTTTTTTGAGACGGAGTCTCGCTCTGTCACCCAGGCTGGAGTGCAGTGGCCGGATCTCAGCTCACTGCAAGCTCCGCCTCCCGGGTTCACGCCATTCTCCTGCCTCAGCCTCCCGAGTAGCTGGGACTACAGGCGCCCGCCACCTCGCCCGGCTAGTTTTTTGTATTTTTTAGTAGAGATGGGGTTTCACCGTGTTAACCAGGATGGTCTCGATCTCCCGACCTCGTGATCCGCCCGTCTCGGCCTCCCAAAGTGCTGGGATTACAGGCTTGAGCCACCGCGCCCGGCCTTCTTTTTTTTTTTTGAACTGGAGTGTCGCTCTGCCTCCCAGGCTGGAGTGCAGTGGCATGATCTTGGCTCACTGCAAACTCCACCTCCTGGGTTCAAGCGATTCTCCTGCCTCAGCCTCCCCAGTGGCTGGGATTACAGGCGCCCGCCACCACGCCCGGCTAATTTTTTGTATTTTTAGTAGAGATGGGGTTTCACCCTGTTAGCCAGGATGGTCTCCAACTCCTGACCTCAAGTGATCCATCTGCCTCGGTCTCCCAAAGTGCAGGGATTACAGGCATGAGCCATCTCACCCAGCCAATACGCTGCTTTTACATGCTTTAAATACCTTAAAGTCGGCAGAATCTCAGATAGTGCGAGGACGCGTGTTGCCCTGTGGTGACAGTGAGTGGCGACAGTGAACGTTCTGGAGCCATCCAGAGCTCTCCTCCTGGAGTGAGTGCCAGCTGTCCTCGCATGGAGTCCTGGTTCCTTTGGTGGAGGATGGTGTTGAAAATCTCAGCCTTTGCGGCAGGGGCGGGGGGCATGGGACACGGGGGAGTTGGTGGTGGGCAGAGATGCTGCTGGGCCACTTTCAGTGACAAAACGTGACAGCGAAGGCTTTTGAAGTCAGGTGAGGCCCAGCCTGCCCTGGGGAGTTCGGGAGGGGGTGAGGCTGATGGGTAGAGTGAGTGGGTGAAGGGGAGAGAGGAGGGAGAAAACCTGGTCAAGGTCAAGAGTGCCCAGGGGAGGACTCGGCCTTTACCGCATTGTGTGTTCAAGGCTTTTAGCCCAGATTTTCCTGCGCCATGTGATCACGGTTAGGGAAATATGACTGGGCCTCACTCAACTGACCTTCCAGACAGTGACGTTCAGTATCTGGAAGGAGGTAGCAGGAGGATGCGTGTGGCCAGTGGAGACCAAGAGGAGGAGGATGGGGCAGTAGTCGGGGGATGCTCTCATTTTCCCAGCCTCCAGCTTGCTGCTGCCTGGACTGAGCGCTGGCTAGCTGACCAGCTCAGGGAGGGCCACTGGGCGATGGCCCAGCCATTCCTGCTGGTTCTGAGCTCCTCTTCCGGTCTCCATCCCCCTCCAGTGCAGAGACCTTCACGGATACAACCCCTTCGACCAGGGCTGTGCCAGCAACTGGTATTTAGCAATTTGTGCACCACTGGGACCCAAGTGAGTTGGCAAAACCAAGAGGCCCAACTGGTGAGCCCTGGGGGTGGGGCAGAGGGGGGTTCCCCGGCTCCTTTCCACAGCTCCCGGGTGCTTACACTCACAGTGCCTGCTCCTCTGGGGTTTTCTCCGGGGCGCTGGGGGCTCTGGGGCCTCCCTACTTACTTGGCTCTGTGGGTTCTTGCCCCGTTATGGCGTAGAGGGGTGCTGCATCCTGGATGAGGCCTCAGCTTCCTGCAGAGCCAAGCCCTGGGCTGCGTGCTTCCTAAGCTGAGGCGGGCAGGGGAGCCAGACCAGGGAGGGCAGTGGCCCCTGCATCTGGCCTGTTGCTCCCCAGGTACATGGCTGAAGCTGTCCAGCTGCAGAGAGTGGTGGGGCCTGACTGGACATCCGTGCCCAACCTGCACCCTCCAATGTCCTCCTCTGCTGTCAACCCCCCAGCCCGCCCTGGCCCCCAGCCCCAACCTCTGGGTACCTACCAACCAGGAAAGGGCCCCCCAGGGTGTGGTGAGGCTGCAGCTCCCCAGGAGGTAAGAAGCGTGTGTGCGCCTGTGTGTCTGTGCGTGTCGGGAGAGGGGTGTCTGCGGGTTGTTAGGGTGTGGGGGGAGGCCCCTGAGGTTGGGCTGACCCTGAAACTGGAGCACTCCGAGCTTGGCGGAGGAGGGTCCTACCCTGGAGGGGTGTTGAAAGGAGGACCCAGGCCTCTATAATATACCCAGGGGTCCCTGGAGTCACAAAGACAAATGAATGATGACTACGCCACTAATGTGCTGATTGGCCTTGGGCCAGTCACTCTTAGGACTGAGATGAGTCTCATGGTTTATAATTTGGCCAAGGGGTGGGAGTGGCGGGAGATTCTTTTATTTAAAGGAAATGTTGACTTGAAGCCCCATGAGACACGGAGACGGGAGGTGGAGGATCAGGAGGCCGCCGTGGGGCTGGGCAACCCCTGTGCCCGGGGCCTCTGCAGCACATTCTGTTGTGCCAGCCCCTCCCTTTGCCTCCCGGGGCAGGAGACCTGGCACGAGCTGTAGGGCGGGGTCTTGGTGAGGGCGCTCATGCCCCTGTTCTGTGTTTAGCTCCACACCGGCCCAGTGCCCCCCCTGCTGCCGCAGGAGCCCCCAGACGAGGTTCAGCCTTCCTCTTGCCCCGTGCACCCGCGGAGATGCCCACAACACCAGCACCTGAGCTCCACCTCCTGAACCCGCCTCCTGAACCCACGTCCTGAACCCACCTCCTGATTCCGCCTCCTGAGCCCACCTCCTTACCTCCCACCTCCTGAGCCCTGAGCGGAAGCCTTTCTGGGCCCTGCCCTTTGCCGCTCCCCTGGTGGGAGTGGTGGTGGGAGTGCCAAGACCCTCGATGCCCATTAAATACCCTTGCCTGCCGCTTACAGCTGTCACGCTGCGCGTGTCTGTCCCGGGTGAGGGTTTGGAGAGGCTCTAACGGGCCGGGACGGAGGAGCCAGGATCTGCGGAGTTCAGGACCCCACACCACCTGGCTCTGTGACCTTACACCAGACACCTGACATCTCTCTCCTCCTTACAATTGGGCAACAACAGGCCGGGCGCGGTGGCTCATTCCTGTCATCCCAGCACTTTGGGAGGCCGAGGCCACCTGAGGTCAGGAGTTCAAGACCAGCCTGGCCAACATAGTGAAACCCCATCTCTAGTAAAAAATATAAAAATTAGCCAGGAGCAGTGGCGGGCACCTGTAGTCTCAGCTACTCAGGAGGCTGAGGCAGGAGAATCGCTTGAACCTGGGAGATGGAGGTTGCAGTGAGCTGAGATCCGGCCCCTGCACTCCAGTCTGGGTGACAGAGTGAGACTCTGTCTCAAAAAAAAAAAAGAAAAGAAAGAAAAAAAAAAGGCAACAATAATTGCAGCAGCCGACTGGCCCAGCTCCCAGCCACAGCTGGAGGTGATAGGAGAGAAAACCACCATGTCAGGGTGTCCGAGGCTGGGAAGACCTGACCTCTGCCCAGTCACACCTTTGTCCGGCTGCAGGGGGCACCCGCAGCCCAGGGATTCGCCAGACTGGCCCGGTTCAGCCCTGCCTCACTGGAGCCTCCGGGGCGGGGTTGGGGCCGGCCCTATGGCTTCTGGGGCCCTGAGGCTGGGAGCAGCCCCCTCCCGGCTGCGGCGTCCTGGGGAAGTGAAGGGGTGGGGGCGTTCTCCACCACAGCCCGGCCTTGCATCTTTCCTGCAGCTGTGTCTCACCCTTGTCCCTCTTTCCTGGTGGGAAGTCAGGAGCTGGTTCTGGTCCTGCCCCTGGGGTGGTCCCAGGCCCCACACATCTTCAGGCCCCTGGGGTGGGGGGCTGGGGGCACATCTAACTGTGGCTCTGCTAGTGGCCAGAATGTGACCGTGGGACTGGGAATAAAGTCACCTTTCTGGAAGGTTGTCAGAGGCTAGAATGAGGTGTTTTGTGCAAAACATCGGGAACACAGGTACACGGTAGGCACGCAATGGGTGCAGCCAGTATCATCATGATTATTTTCTCCACCACACAGCTGACACTCCACGCAGAGCTTCTCCAAGGACCACCTTCGAGACTGACCCGGGCCCCTTTCTTAAGGGAAGTCCCTTCTGCCAGGCTCGTCCCCTTTCTGCCAGGCTCCTCCCCCTTCTGCCAGGCTCCTCCCCCTTCTGCCAGGCTCCTCCCCCTTCTGCCAGGCTCCTCCCCCTTCTGCCAGGCTCCCGTGGCTCGGCCTCTCCAGGCTCCCGTGGCTCGGCCTCTCCAGGCTCCCGTGGCTCGGGCTCTCCAGGCTCCCCTGGCTCAGTCTCTCCAGGCTCCCGGGGCTCGGGCTCTCTGTGTCGGAGGAGGGTAGGAATTTTTATCAAGTGTCCCAGTGATTCTGCCACACTGTTTGCTTCCTGCCACCTTTGTATCCGGGTGAAGCCAGGGTGTGGAGGAAGGTGGGGACGGAAGGATGTCCCCCAAGGGTTCAGATGAGCACCCCCAGGCACCGTGGAGGCGTGTGTGTCTGTGTGCGGGGGTGTGGGCGCATTCTCAGGGGATGCTGGCCCAGCCCCTGTCCTCTTGGCCGCTGGCGATGCAGGACGTCCCTCCAGATCTCCAGCCCACTGGGTCCTGCCACAACTGGCCCTGGAGGCTTCAGGCCCTTCCCTGTAGGCCCAGCCTCACCCACCTGCCTGGCCTGGGCCACAGAGGAGGGGGTCCAGGAGCCTGGGCCAAGGCCGGATGTGAATTATGGAACTGGGTGGTTGAAGAAGTGATGCCTGCCTGGAGTCCCAGCCCACAGGGGCAAAGAAGGCCAGGCCCGGTATCTGGGGAGGCCCTGCCCTTCCTCTGCCACCCTGTCCCTTGGTTCAGGATGGCACCTACTGGTCCTCGCCTCCAGGTATGCAGGGACTGACTCACTCAGCCTCAGGCAAGAGCCCTTCAGGCCTAAGCCAGCTGTGAGTCATCTCCCCTCACACGCTGGGCCTCAGTTTCCTCACTGGGCAGACATAATTTTCCTCAAAGTGTCAGAGGAGACCATGACCCCTCTGAGGGCAATGGCCTCCTGCTCCAAATGCAGGTCCTAGGTCTCTCTGTCCCTCCCAGCCTGGGATTTCTGTTGTTTTTTTTTTGAAACGGAGTCTTGCTCTGTTGCCCAGGCTGGAGTGCAGTGGTGCAGTCTCGGCTCACTACAACCTCCTCCTCCAGGATTCAATCGATTCTCGTGCCTCAGCCTCCTGAGTAGCTGGAATTACAGGTGTGCACCACCGTGTCCAGCTAATTTTTGTATTTTTAGTAGAGACAGAGTTTCACCATGTTAGCCAGGCTGGTCTCGATCTCCAGGACTCAAGAGATTGGCCCATCTCAGCCTCGCAAAGGGCTGGGAATACAGGCGTGAGCCACCGCGCCCAGCCCCAGCCCAGGATTTCTAAGGTTGCTTCAGGAAAGTCGCTTGGATCAGGCCCCTTTGCTCCTGGAGGGTTAAGTGAGGCTTCGACTGTCCCTTACGTTGACTCCCCACCACTCCACAGTCTCCCCTAAGCCAGGGCCCCCTCGGGGATTCTTTGCCTTTGGGAGGCCTCGGTTCAGCTGCACCCACTTTTCCTTTCTGCCCCTTCCTTGCTTCTGCGGAATGTACTCTTGATTCTCAGATGCACCCCGCCCAGTCCTTGACCCACTGATAAGGGGAGGGGTGTTATCAGAGCCCAGTTATGGGGCCCACTGTCCACACGCCCAGGAAGCCCTGCCATCTCTGCCTTCTGTGGGCTGCAGCCGAGGAGCGACCCCCAGGCCTGCAAAGCTGCCAGGCGCCTGCCTGTCTAGGGCTCCTCTGAGAGGTCCCCAGCTGGCCCCTAGGACCTGAAGAAAGGGGTTAGACCCTGGGATGGGGTGCCCAGAGCAGCGCCCCCATCTCCACGCCTTTCCTCCATGCGCCTTCTGGGGAGCTCACAGGCTTCATGGGCACGTGGGGTGGAGCTCAGCCCCGTCATTCCTCTCTGTGCCCAGCTAGTGTGCTGTGGAGAAGTCACTGTCCTGTGTGCAGCCTCAGCTTCCTCGTCTGTAGGGCGGACAGTCACAGCCGCCTCCCAGGGGTCACAGGATCCCAACTCTCTAGGGGAGGAAGGGGCCTGGGCTGCCTTATCCAGCCGCCCCCAGCCCCCAGTTTCACAAACAGGGACTCTGGGGCCCAGACAGGGAAGTGGTTGCATGGGATCGCACGGCGCAGTCAGTCTGGTGACTCTCTGGTGCCCAGGCCGCTGCCCCTATCCCTGGTCCTGGGCCATTCCAGAGGAGACAGGCTTGGCCGGCAACCGCAGGGCCCTGCTCCCCAGAGCCTGTGCCTCAGAGCTGGGCTGGGCTGGACATTTCAGCACAAGCCCAGGGAACTGATAAGAAGGCTTAACTCTGTCTCCAGCCCTGTGCTGCCGGCGATAATGACCCCCTCCCCCTGCCTCCCGCTCTGCCCTGACCCTTGGGTGGGGACCCTGAAGGTGGCTGAGGGTGGAGCAGGGCAGGGACAGATGGGGGAAGGGAAGATCATTGCACTGCAGGATCCAGGGCCCAGAATCCTAGTACCTCACCGGACATAGGCACCTTGCTGGCCCTCACGGGCAGCTGGGCACAGTGCCTGGCACCCATGCTTCATCTGGGTCCGAATCCCTTCACTTTAGTTCTTAGCATGCGGAAGAATGGCTGGAGGGAAGCAGCCCGGGGGCTGAAGGCTTCCAGAACTCCTGTGCTAACAAACCCTCAATGGAACCTGCCCGGGCCAGGGCCTGTGCTCGGGGGTTCGGGATGCTCGGGGGTTCAGGACGCTCGGGGGTTCAGGACGCTCCTTTAATCCTCACAACTGCTCTGTGAAGTTGTCACTCGAGGTTCTGAGGTGAGGAAACCAGCACGGAGCAAACACGCCGCTTCCCAAGGTCACGTCGCTTCCCAAGGTCACGTCGCTTCCCAAGGATACGTTGCTCCCAAGGTCACGTTGCTTCCAAGGTCGCGTTGCTCCCAAGGTTGTGTTGCTTCCAAGAGGCAGGAGGGCAGCTCCTA